CTCGCAATTCTTTCGGATGAACCTTTGATGTAAGGGATGGTCTTCTTCCGTTCAGTTTCGCCGGTAGTTGGTATTGTTTTCCAGGAATGTTCAATTACGCTGTTCACAAAAGGTTTAGAATATTTGTTGATGGTAAAAGCTTTATCAAGGTGCTGCAACTCATCTTCGAGGGTTTCACTAGAACTGCAAACTGCATGCGCTCTCTCTTCGCTAAAGGTTGCTATTGTAGCTAACTTGTGCGAGGTTGGGTGGTAGGATGAATTATCTAATAATCGGCTGGTGCTGGTGGGTTTTCGATAGACACTCGTTCGAAGAGAATTGCTGTCTCTGGTCATTATGCAGTCTAGGAAAGCTATCTTACCATCTTTCTCAGGTTCCATGGTGAACTGTAGACTGGGGTTTTGCTTGTTGAGGTGGTCAAGAAAGTCGTTTTTCTGATGTTTGCTGACACTCATCAAGGTATCGTCAACGTAGCGAAACCAAAAGGGTGGTGGGTTTGGGTATGAGGACAATGCTCGTTCTTCTAACCGTTGCATAACAATCTCTGCTACGACTACGGAAACTGGAGATCCCATTGCTGTGCCATGAAGTTATTGGTAGAAACTTCCGTTGTACTGAAAAACTGTAGACTCTAAACATAATTTGAGTAGGTCTATAAACTCTTCCTTCGGAATTGGAAGTTCATCATCATAGTTAGTTAAGGATTCTTCCATGCACTCAATTGCTAGTTGTAATGGAAAACTTGTGAACAAAGACTTAACATCAAAGAAGACTTGGTCATGAGTGGCACTGATCGTCTCCTCTTGAATTTTCGTAGTGAAATCTGCGGAATTCACGAGGCGGTGTTCCGAGCGCTCTGTTATAGGCTTCAAAAGCGTGCAAGATATTTAGAAAGTTCATATCTTGGTGATGAACAAAACGACACGATTGGTCTCATAGGTGTATTCTCCTTGTGAATTTTAGGCAAACCATACAGTTTTGGAGCTTGCGCAACCGAACAACGAAGTTTTGAGTACAAAGGTTTCTTTATAATGTTAGCTAAATGTATAGTTTTTGATTTAGGTTACGTTGTAATTTCTTTGATGGATCGCTCCTAAGTTTTTGTAAGTGTTCCCGTCATTCACCAAAGTTGTTATGCAACGGTTAGAAGAACAAGCATTATCCTCATATATATACCCAAACCTACCACCTTTTTGGTTTCGCTACGTCGACGATACTTTGACGAGTGTCAGCAATCATCAGAAAAACGACTTTCTTGACCACCTCAACAAGCAAAACCCCAGTCTACAGTTCACCATGGAACCTGAGAAGATGCTAAGATAGCTTTCCTAGACTGCATGATAACCAGATATGGCAATTCTCTTCGAACGAGTGTCTATCGAAAACCCACCAGCACCAGCCGTTTATTAGATAATTCATCCTACGTACCACCCAACCTCGCATAAGTCAGCTATAATAGCAACCTTAGCGAAGAGAGAGCGCATGCAGTTTGCAGTTCTAGTGACACCCTCGAAGCTGAGTTGCAGCACCTTGATAAAGTTTTTACCATCAACAAATATTCTAAACCTTTTGTGAACAGGTAATTGAACATTCCCGGAAAACAACACCAACTACCGGCGAAACTGAACGGAAGAAGACCATTGCAACCATCCCTTACATGCATCAAAGGTACATCCGAAAGAATTGCGAGAATCCTACGACCTTTCAACATTAGTGTGGCTCACAAACCAACGGTTACGCTAAGAAATACCTTAACGAAAGTGAAAGATCCAACCGATACAAAGACCCGGATAGGAACAGTTTACAAAGTGACCTGCGCTGAATGCCCCGCAACTTAAATTGGTGAAACTGGACGTACTCTAGATTGTCGCATTAAAGAACATAAGCGGTCAACAGAGAAACAAGACATGGCGAATAGAATTGCGGTTCATCATATGGAAACAAACCATTAACTGTTATACATGGCTGAACACATTGTACTTTTACCACATTGCCCACAGAGCCACCTGTATGGAGTTTAATGGTTTTGAGGATGAGAGAATGTTCTTAGAAAGCTGGTTCACAAAATGCGATGAAAACAGTATCAACATTTGCCGCGATATGCCAGGAGCATACGCTGGACTAATAGACAATTCCCATTACAGACTAATTTTAAAACTAGGCAAGGAGATGCAAATAAATCATCACAGCTAGAAAGAGCATACTAAAATTAGTAAAATGACAAAATTTGGTTGCGAAATGTTGTAAAATGTGGAAAATATAACCTTGCAAAGTTTGCAAATTTTGTATACTTTTGTATTGCGTGCGACATTTTCGGCCTAAATGTGGTATAGCGGGCCGTATTCTGTGGCACGATATCGTTCAGTTCCGTTGCCCGGGTTCGGGCACTACTTTGAAACAAGATAAATAATTAGGATAAATTATACAAAGTTCAAATCCGCTTGTTTGCACTTCCCAAAACCTGCAGTTTTCGAGTATTTCTTCTTCGAATATTGAAGATATCGACATCTTTCGCAATCGATCGCCGCCATTTTTGTTCAGGATACTTGGTGTAACAAACACTCTAAATGCCGATTTTCGCGGGCTCATGCTCATTCTTACATGAAGTTTCCAGCTTAGCATTTGTAAACATGGCGTCTTCTGATTCATGTTTAATTCATTTTGATGGGAAAAAAGGCCCACTTACAAGTTTTAGTGTGGTTTCGTATCAAAAATTTTTACATTGTCGTAGAATTTGGCTAACGCTAGACGGGGAAGAACGCAATGTTGCTCAAAGAAGTTTGCGGTTTGTTAGCGACAGCATGGAAGTAGCACGGTCGAAAATATCGATGCAAATTTCTCTTTATATCATCGAAGTTGTTACTCGGCATTCACAAATAGCAGTATGATCAACCGAGCTCAAGAGCGTTGTCAGAATATGGACAAAGAAGGTGTACCTTCATCCTCTGGTCTCCATATTATTGATGAAGAAACGGAATCAGATGAATACGAGTGTGGGCCTGTGCGGCAGCTAAATCATGGAATCCCCACTTGTTGCCATGCGTTTAGCGTTTGTATAATTTGCTAATCAGAAAAGTCGTATTTCACTGAATCGGTAAGTTTATTGATTTTTTTTTTTTTACAATTGTTATTTTTCTAATTTGTGTTTTATAATTATATATTGATTGCATTGCCTTTAGCCGCTCCCGTTATAACGGTTGTGTGATTTATATGCATGGTTTTTTTATTGTTTAGAAGTCGAAAAAGCGAAAGCTGGACAAAATGGTATCTGTGAAAACAGTAGATGGTGGTAAACTGAAAGAAGCTGCAACAAAGAAAGTTGATGAAAGTATTTTGATTCAAATTGGCATTGAAAGCATCCACATACAGTATACAAGTGCAAGACTGAAAGAAATGAATACAGACAATTAATACAGTTGGCCTAACATTGAGAAACAACTTGCAAAGACTGTTGCAAAACATTGTACATCTGCTTGGTACAAGAACTGGCCACTACATACATAATATATTACTGGTGAAAACATTAGTATCACCTCTCTTGTTTAATTTTATGATATGGATGCTTGGGTTTTCAGATGACCCAGAAGATGCTGACTACATTGAATTAGATGGCCAAACTACATCAAAGATTTTTCTCTGTGTCAAAATTTGATCTATATTTCTAATAGGGGGAAAGTACAGATACCCAAGTCCCTAGCACTAGCAATGACCATTAAGCAGATGTTTGGTTGTTCTGGCCTGATATTTAAGATTTTGAGTGGTTTTGGACATTGTCTCTCACTATCTTTGGTAATAGCATATGATTCAGCTGTTGCACAGGCAACTATCAACACATCAACATTATTCCAGTAATATCTGATGCATGTGGTGGCCAGTTCTTGTACCAAGCTGATGTACAATTATGCAAGTTGTTTCTCAATGTTAGGCCAACTGTATACATTTCTTTCAATGTTGCACTTGTGTATGTCGATGTTTTCGTTACAATGTCAACATCAGAATCAGACTCTTGTGTGAACTCTGAGATGTTTCTATGTCATCATCCATAAAACTTTTTCTTGACTGAGGCACTCTGCATAAACAATTTCACTCTTGTTTCATAACTTTGGTCTATGGAAAACAAGTTGTGGAAACCTTTTACACATGTACTTTTCATAACATTGTTTATGGTATTCCACTTTCAATGCTAGGTCCTTATCAGCAATTTGAATCAAAATACTTGAAATCATCAGCTTTTTTTGTTGTAGCTTCTTTCAGTTTACCACCTACTGTTTCTGCAGACACCATTTTGTCCTAAATAATAAAAACCCATGCATAGAAATCACACAACCATTATAATGTTAGCAGCTAAAGGCAATGCAATCAATATATAATTACAAAACACATCTTAGAAAAAATATTAATAAATCAATAAACTTACCGACTCAGTAAAATATGACTTTTCTGATTTGCAAAATTGCAACACGTGGGGATTCCATGATTTAGCTGCCGCACTCATACACACGTAAAATTCTCACATCTTGTAACAAGTCTGCCAACAAGCTGTCAACAAGATGTATGCGCACTGCTTGTCACAAGTTGTCAACAGGCTTGGAACAACTTGTAACAACCTTGTCGAAGTTATCAGACTTGTTGCAAGGTTCTGACAAGTCTGTTACATGCTTGATATAACAAGATTGATACAACCTTGTGTTGACAACCTTGTAACATCCTTGCTATATCATGGTTGCAACAAACTTGTTAGCACTGTCTTGTAACAAGACTGATAATGCCACCAAGCTTGTTACAAATTGTTAACAGCTTGTTTCAAACTTGTTACAACAAACTGGGAACAAGCAGTGTGAAGACAACTTGTTGACAGTTTGTCAACAGACTTATAACAACTTGTTTGCAGACTGTTACAAGCTGTGCATTTTTACATGTGCAGGTGAACTCAGCGTATACATGTAAAAATGCACAAGTTGTAACAAACCTGCAGCAGATTTGTAGCAATGCTGCTACAACAATTTGTCAACAGGATGTGTTCGCACTGCTTGTTCCCAGTTTGTTGACAAGTTGTCAACATCTTGTTGACAACTTGCTACAAGGTTGTCAAACTCAACAAACTTGTTACAAGTTGTTCCAACAGCAATAGAACAATTTGTCAACAAGTTGTGAGTGACAAGCTTGTAGCAACTTGATAAAATAACAGAATTTTTACAACTTGTTGACAAGCTTGCTACAAGTCTGTTGCGAACACATCTTGTTGACAAGTTGTGCGATTTTTACGTGTGTAGATCTCAGCATTTTCTTTACAGGTGGAGTTTCATCTGATTCCGTTTCTTCATCAATAAATGGAGACCAGAGGATGAAGGTACACCTTCTTTTTCCATATTCTGACAACGATCTTGAGCTCGGTTGATCATACTGCTATTTGTGAGTGCCGAGTAACAACTTCGATGATATATTAAAGAGAAATTTGCATCGATATTTTCGACGTGCTACTTCCATGCTGTCGCTAACAAACCGCAAACCTCTTTGAGCAACATTGCGTTCTTCCCCGTCTAGCGTTAGCCAAATTCTACGACAATCTAAAAAATTTTTATACGAAACCACACTAAAACTTGTAAGTGGGCCTTTTTTCCCATCAAAATGAATTAAACATGAATCAGAAGACGCCATGTTTACAAATGCTAAGCTGGAAACTTCATGTAAGAATGAGCATGAGCCCGCGAAAATCGGCATTTAGAGTGTTTATTACACCAAGTATCCTGAACAAAAATGGCGGCGATCGATTGCGAAAGATGTCGATTTCTTCAATTTTCGAAGAAGAAATACTCGAAAACTGCAGGTTGTGGGAAGTGCAAACAAGCGGATTTGGACTTTGTATAATTTATCCTAATTATTTATCTTGTTTCAAAGTAGTGCCCGAACCCGGGCAACGGAATTCGTTTTCTAAGCGACTTTTCGTGCCACAGAATACGGCCTAGCTAGGAATGTGGTAGGAATTTCCGCAAGCAATACAAAAGTATACAAAATTTGCGAACTTTGCAAGGCTACATTTTCCTCATTTTACAACATTTCGCAACCAAACTTTGTCATTTTACTAATTTTAGTTTGAGTTTCCTTGCCTAATTTTAAAATTAGTCTATAATGGGAATTGTCTATTACGCATGAACGCAGACTCTCGTGCCTTGAGAGACACGCCGCACGTCATTTTGACGCAAGATAAAATTATTACAACTGTAATTTTTTTTGTAACTGTAACACAGAGGAGAGACATACAGAGCTGTAACTGACCGCTGTCATGTACCCACTTTTTTTCAGGCGACCGGGCAAAAAACTATCAACTGCGCGTGCTCGGCAAGTTTTAAAGCGAGCCGCCATCCAATCAGATGCATGCATCTAGTAACTTGCCGAGCACGCGCACAAAAAAAGTGGGTACACTAGCTAGTTACAACTCTGTATATATGTAGCTACTCTGTGACTGTAATACGTCTTTGATAATGGCTACCGTATAGGTAGCCGAAACGTCAGAAACAATTAAGAAATTTAATCTGGATGGATTTAAGCTCATTGTTCAATATTGTTGACAACTGTGAACAATGTGGGCCGCACAACATTGTTCAATCCCGTTTTCATCAATATTGCAACAACCTGATCGTTTTTAGCTGTGTACATAATTTAACCGTTAATTATAGCGTTAGCAGTTCGTGCTTGAAATCAAGAACGCCAGTCAGCTAGTCGATGCAGTTTCATGAGTTTCATGGTTTTCATGTCGTCATCTATAGCGGCTCGATTTACTTTCAGCCGGCGTTCGCGAATCAAAAACGTCGCTTGCTTCAGCTCTCTGATATTATGCTCTAATACTACGAGAGACCTTGTTTTACATGCAACCACAGAATTTGGCAAGTTGCAAACACCTATCTTAAATTAAGGCTCATTTCCACTCTGGTAAAACCAACTCACTGCGAGTGCTTCTTGGATCGAATAAAAATAAACTGTCGGTCATTGTGATTGGATGAAAGCACTCGCAGCGAGCTTGCGTGTTGACTCCTGTGCTGAACGGAAAGGGGGTTTATTCTCATATTATTTTGTGATTTACATCACATTATGCAACTTGCTGTTCAGTTTCAGTTGAAGCATATTTTAATGTGATAATAATAATAGCAATAATGATCAAATTTCTGGCCATGTTTGCATTCAAAGGCGGATTTCCATTCAGTGCAAAATGTTGCGCGATCGATTTTTTGCGATGGTGTGGTATGGTAAAACTTTATTTAAACACGCTAGCCTCGATCAACGTGAGATACAAGTTAAACTATATATAGAAAAACAAGGAAGCAAGGAGTTATTAAAAAAGGAATTATATAAAAACTTAACAATTGGTGCGATCGAAAGGAAGTGTTCATGCCTGACGTATTTTTCTTTTAAAAGAAGAAAGGGTTTCAGAATTTTTTCAATCCTCAGAAAGATGATTCCATTGCATGGCACCACCATATCGAAAAGTTTTCTTTAAAAATTCACTGTTAGGCTTAGATAAGCATAGACTGAATTGTGTTTCTTTTGCAGAAAAACTCGCGATCTTTTGAAATACAAAAAGTCAAGCGGAACAAATCTCATTAGCTGCGGTTGACTGCACACATTTCAAAAGAAAGCGATCGCAAAAACTTGATCACGCACTGATTGGAAATCCGCCTTAACTCTGATATAAATTCGTACTACTTCATCCGAAAGGCACTTTCTTCATTTGTTTTTCGATGTCTGTGATTAGGGAGGAGGCTAAAGTATTTTCTTTAATTATAGCTACGCTATTTTACGTTTGGTGATGTTATCTGAATTGCAATGAGAGCATTATTAAAACTCTTCTAACACACATAAATTCCCAAATTGGGGATCAAAAAGCATGGAATTTTAGTTAGCTATAAATATCTAAAATGTTACAAACAAAACAAGACCAAGAACAGACTTCAACTGTAATCTTACAACCAACTCTCATGACGAAAAGGCTTCTTTTCAAACGTCTGGAAGTGGGTTTTTTTCCCGTTTCAGATTGAGTGATTTTACATATATATCTATCTTTAAACTTACTTCCTTGACAACCAAAATATTCCAATCTGGTACAAGCAGCTAGATCATACCACTCTAACGGATGCATGCGCACATAGCGCGCTACAATGTGGGGATTGAATATTCCATCGACTGGTTCCGAATTGGTAGTTGGCCCATTGAAAATCTATAGATCAAGAAAAATAATTAAGGCCCGTTTCATACGCCGTACTTCACATGTGCCGATTGCCGAATACATTAAAAACAATAGATAATGAGGCATTTCAGCTCATTATCTATTGTCTTTAATGTATTCGGCACATGTGAAGTACGGCGTATGAAACGGGCCTAAATGTGGTCCAGATAGAATTTACGTGCAAAATGGCAACGATTTCTGAACTGGAGTATTTGCTCTGAGCCAGATGACAATTTCTCTAAATGTAATGTATTTTAAAATTTGTCGCCCTCGTGCATGTTTTTTTCCCAAATTGCCCCAAAACAATACTAATATTAGCTCAATAATATACATAAAATGATAAGAATATTACTCGACTGCGATTGCGCCTTACGTGCCTTATCTAACGTGCATAAAAGACATAGCCTTGACCGTTTCTTTAACGCGCTCAAGAATGCTTCAAACGCAAGTTGACAGGGAGGTGGTGATAATTAGAGATCAGCGCATAATCACCTTGTCGTATGGAGTAAATATTATATTATCAAAGCTGAAAGATAGTTTAAACTGGGTGACCCATTGAAGACGACTGCCTCCAGCACCTTGTATTTTCATCGAGGTCAATGTCGTGTTAACCTGCAACACATATATAACACTAAATAAATCATATATGGAGTAAAATTGACTAATCTGAAATTATTTATACTGGATAGCATAGCTCTATCAAAAGGCTGTCCTCCCCACCTATACACACGTAAAAATCTCACAACTTGTCAACAAGATATGTTCGCAACAGGCTTGTAGCAAGCTTGCCAACAAGTTGTAACAATCTGTTATTTTATCAAGTTGCTACAAGCTTGTCACTCACAACTTGTTGACAAGTTGTTGAATTGCAGGACGATAACAAGTTGTTGGAACAACTTGTAACAAGTCTGTTGAACTCAACAACCTTGTAGCAAGTTGTCAACAAGCCGTTGACAACTTGTCAACAAGCTGGGAACAAGCAGTGCGAACACATCCTGTTGACAAGTTGTTGGAACAGCATTGCTACAAGTCTGCTGCAGGTTTGTTACAACTTGTGCGGCTCGGCTGTATTTTCTGGATGTATATACATGCTGCAGTAAAGACCAAACCTTGCGGTTCAGTCTTATACTCCTACCGTGTAACATACGATTAAGCAGAAAATATTTTAATAAATTTGAAGCAGCACAAAGGAGGGGGGCGAAGGATTTTATTTACAGCTTAGTATCGCGGATGGTCAGTGCATGGTACTTGACATGACTCATGAGCCGGAGGAACCAATTGGCGTCAGCAAACGTGCAAATCCGCCATGTTTTTGGCGACACTTTTTTGACTGGCGAAAGATAGGAGTCCATCCTCCAGTAATAATATAGCTCAGTGATACTTAACAATTATTCGCCGAAGGCGAGGTGATTATCGGTGAACTGAAAAAAACCGAGACGAAATCGAGGAGAATTGGATTCACCTTCACCTTCGCCCAATATGGCAAAATATTAAGTCTCGACTTCAATATTAGGTTCAGTCGACCTTTAGTCTCGCCCAACATTGCAGTCTCGACTTAATTAATATTTTGCTATATTGTGTTCAGTAGAATCCAATAAGATATTAATATCCTGCCAGTAGAGAGTCAATCAGATTGCAGAATTACCAGAATAGCTTATATCCGGTAGCTGTCTATATAATAAAAACTAGAAAATACATCGAACATGAAGTATCTAAAGTAGTTGTCATGGTAACACGATAATTTTTAAGAATATTTTTATAAATTAAAAATCCCCTAAAAATATCACTTTAATTGCAAAATTACCAATTTCCCAAACATATATATGTTAGGTATGTTATTAGCCTATACGTAATATAAGCTTCAATTTATTAAATGCTTCGCAAAACGTTTTAAAATGTTCTTTATAAAACTAAACTGCCTTTTGGCTTTATCGATAAACTTTGAGTTCGAAATCAAATGATTTCAAATTCTCGCATGCAAATAACTTTGTTTTTTGTTTTATTTAAAAAATTTAATATAATAAAAGAGGGTAATCAATAAAGATGCACTGAAATTATATGCTGTCTTGTTTTGTTTTACGCCACGTTTATACGATCGGCTTTTAAAGCAATTATAAAGCAAACAATACATTAATATTTAAAACAAACTTACCTTCGTTAACGTCAGCGCCTTTACTCCCTTCTCTTAGCCGATTCTTTATCGTTTTTTTCTTAAAAAGCTTTTGAAATTCACAAAATCTTGCAAAAATGAAATATATTTGCAAGAAATCATCAAATCAAGAAATGTGTGCTATTTTGCTGTCGTCATGCAATCGTTACAATGCAAATTTTAAATTTGACCAATCAGTGTTCGCTATTATTATTATTATTATTATTTAAAAATATTTTAAAACGGTAGCTCTTCAGGGCTCGTAGGCACCTGTTTTTCAAGAGGCCGTTTATTACAGTATTTACAAGCTATATAAATATAATAACACAAATATATACACAAAAACAGAGAAAACATAACGAACTTAATAATTGCATGCACTACATTTGTATCTAAAAATATCCTATCCTATTTAAATATTTACAAAGTTACCAAAAGGAATCAAGTGCCGTCCGAGGTGCCGTCAAGAATACGTTTAAATTTGTTAAGGCTAATGCCTTTTTCTTAATTTGCTGTAGTTGATAAGTCATTCCAAAGGGATGCAGCTGAATAACTGAAGCTCTTTTTCATAAAATTTGTTTCAGGTTTTCCAAGATCATAGTTGTTATTGTTACTTCTTAAATCATATCTGTCATTTATTTTAATTTTGAACTTGTTGCAAATTGATGATGGCATTTTTTTGTTTCGTATTCTGTGCATAAAAATCGATTTATTGGTTTTATAGCGTTGGTTTAAAGGTTGCCAGTCTAATTCTTTTAAAACATCCTTAGAACTAACTTCATAAGTTTTACCAGTGATGATTCGGGCCGCTCTGTTTTGTAATTTCTGAAGTCTGTTTTTTAAGTAATCACAACAGTTATCCCAAACCAAGCTACAATAATCAAAATGTGATAGCACAATGGCATTATATATTTTTACTAAGGTTGATTTGGGAACAAACTGTTTTATTCGTCGCATCATTCCTATTCCTTTTGAAGCTTTTGTGACAATATTTTGGATTTGATGATTCCATAAAAGATGTTCATCAATAATTACGCCTAAAGTTTTTGATTTGTGAACCCGTTTAATGATTGATTCACCAAGCTCAATTTTAGGGTCCGTTAGTACTAAGTTTGAAATTCGTTGTCTTGAACCAATAATCATGTATTCAGTTTTATCTTTGTTAAGTGTAAGTTTGTTTGCAAGTAACCATTGGTGTATATTTTCTAAGTCCACGTTAATGCGTTCTTGTAGTTCGTCATTTGTTTTGCCATTGGTTGAAACATTTGTGTCATCGGCAAACATGCTTGCTGAAGATGAGGTCAGGCAGTTTGGCAGGTCGTTTATATATAATAAGAAAAGAAGTGGCCCAAGATTAGAACCTTGGGGTATTCCACACTTAACTGTTCTTGTCTTGGACATTGTTTGATCTACCTTACATATTTGAATCCTGCTAGAAAGATAGGACTGGAACCAAGCAAGCGTATGACCTCTTATTCCATAACAATGCATTTTTTTTAACAATATATTATGATCAACACGGTCAAACGCTTTCTTGAGATCCAAAAAAATCACTCCATTTAACAAACCCTTATCCATATTCATTAGCCATTGGTTCGTGATGTTAAGTAGAGAAGTTTGTGTAGAGTGATTTTTCCTAAATCCTGCTTGTTGTTCTGCAAGAATGTGATTAGTTTCAAGATAAATTTCTAGTTGCTCTGTAACTAATTTCTCATATATTTTAGCAACTGAGGATAGAACCGAGATTGGTCTATAATTATCGCAATTAGTTTTGCTTCCAGCCTTATGAATTGGAGAAATGATAGCAATCTTGAAGTCTTCAGGAAATATACCAGTGTTTATAGATGCGTTAAAGATTGCTGACAGTCCGCCATATTTTTTAGATCAGTGAGGATGACCACTCACGCATAGTGACCCACGCCCGCGATCATTGATGAACTTTAGACTTCGCTAATGCTTTCGTTTCCCCGGGTGTAAATAGCCGTGGGGAATTAGTACCCTCGCCCAGGTCTTACTCCCGGAACGGCGCTCCGCGCCGTTGGCTCGAGCTCGGGGATAATATGAAAAAATTATAGAGTCGTTGGCTCGGGGACTAATATTCTGCTAGTAGAGAGCCAATCAAATTGCAGAACAGTTGTTTTTCTGAGTAGCTCCATATAATAATACTGTGTTATGTGCAGGAAGAGAATTATAAAAGTAAGCAAACTTTATATATGCAGAATAGCACTTTCAGCCTTTAGCAGTTCTTTCTGGTGCCAATAGTATTTAAGGCCAGAGGATTTACAGTGCAAAATTAAACTACAAGTCTACCTTAAAGTCCACCTGCAACCAAGAGCCAGTGAGACTTTTTGGTTGCCAACAAGCAGAGGTTAGACCCGCAGGTGTTACATTAAACCTAGCACGGTTAGGGCGATAAGCAATGGCCGAATAAGACGAGGCAGTGATTTGAGTTTCCGATATGAAGCCAGATTCCATTCCCAACGCCATTGAAGCTTCACAGGCTAAAACGAAAAGCAGGTAAATCAGAGCTGTGAGTTGTTTCAAGATGTACTAAACCAGGGTACATTTATAAAAACGAAATTTATCACTTCAGAGAAAAGGCTGCCGCGTCATATCTATTTTATTTACGAATTATAATCGAAGAGATCTGAGAATCCGCCACGCCCCCTCCCCCAAACACCTGCTGCGAAAGACCCTGTCCGGGTATGGTCACGTGACATCCCAGATTTTGAGATGTGACGTAATTAGTCGTTAGGGTGGGTACGTGGGGCAGAGTTATTAACTACAGTCATTTCTAAAAATAATAGAACTTGTCAATTTGGTTAATATCACATTCGGCAATATTTGAAGTTCTATATTTGGAATAAAACCAACACTCCGATAAAACGTTACATATGATATGGTTCACGGCATTTAGACCATTGAACTATAAGTAAACTGGAACAATAAGTTCGCCGCCGTCTTTGAAGCCGGCCATGAGTGTTTTCTGCATGTAGCCCCAGTCCTTTTTTACAAAATGGATGGGAAAAATACAGCTTAAAAATCGTTTCTCACTTTTACTTCTTTCAAGGCAATTATTTCATCCTAGAGCACACTTAGACAACACAACTTTTATGTAAGGCACACAAAATAAGCAGATATTGTTTAACTGCCGAAATATGACACGAACAACACGAAACTCGGCAAAAAATCGCGCGAAAATTTATGGTTTTTCTGAGTTTTTAGACTTTCCAGAAAGAGTTCAGAGACAATTTCATACAATTTATGTAGAAAAATCTTAGATACGGTTGATAATGAATGTTCAAACATCCAGAAACGTACTTGAATAAGTTAAAATTAAGGGTTAAATTAGTAAAAACACTGTGACCCAAACATAGGCCTTTATCATAGGAGTTATCGTTCCAGTTTACTTATAGTTCAATTATTTATACCAGTGATTTAGACAATGAAAAGACTAAAGCAGGCATTATGGCAATGCCGGGTAATGCACGCCGCAGTATGGTAAGACAAATAATCAACATTTCATTTGTATGACATGTTCATATAATATGTATTTATTTGTCGCTACAAGAAATAAAACAAACATTTGTATGATTGTATTTAGTTTTTAATCTATTTCACGCAGCCTTCTTCTATCTTCGTGAAAAAATTCACCCCCCCCCCTGTCACGGCTGCGTGTTACTTTACCACTAGCCTGCAAACAGGCTCTCTTTGAACTCTTCAATTCAAAGAGCCTGTTCGCAGGCTACTTTGCCACGCGAGATTTGTACGGAATGTTTTGAAAGACTTGTATGCAACATTTTGCAGGTGATAAAATGCTGCATTTCTTATCTATTGTTAATATTTTTAGTTTCGTACCCTTTGTAAAGGGTTAACTTTGTTATTGTAGTTCAATCGAAATGGCTTGGATGGAAGAATAACAAGGCAGAACTGTTGACAACCGACACGGATGACAAAATGGCACCGAATTTGGACAAAGTTGAGGTTTTACCTTGTCGATGGTTAAACAGCTAGGATCTACTTGAAACCCAGTTAAAACGTGTTTAAAATGTGTTTGATACCATTATGTTTGAGCTGAATTGCGTATTTGGAAGGATTTCAACGAGATCGGTGATAAACAGCGGAGTAAAGTGGAGAATTTTGCCAAATACGTCCATTTGCAGGAGGTACAGTAGGTACATTTCAAATTATTATTTCGGTCACAAAATATTAACTATTTTACACCAAAACAGTGATAACATACTTAAATAAGTACCAATTACGTTTCTATAAAAATGATTTAGGAAAAAAGGTAATGTAGGTCCACCGCTGTTTATCTGAAGTTGCAAGCCACAAATTGACGTTTGACTGTGATTATTGTATGGTCATTTTCTTGTGAAATATCAGTGCTAGGCATTTCATATACTTACCAACGACCACCCCTAAAGGTACCATCTCTGAACCATATTTGCACCTCGGAATAGCCAAAGCGTTTATGATTTGGTAGATAGCACTATGGTTCCTCAATCAGAACGTCTCATTTGGTTGCAACTCGAAATGGCTTATTTAAAAGGATGATCCGTCCATTTCTAGTTATAGATCACCGACTCTAGGTATTGAACTTACCCTGGCATAGGCTTCCACTTGTCTTAGGTCCACAAGCGCAAGTATGGTCGTCTTTATTGCCAGCCAAATAGCAAGTTCCGTGATTCAAACAGGGGCTATTTGTGCAAACTATTAGGAAAAATAATATTAGGACATATAATACTTTTTGTTTGTAGAAACACCTGCACGTAAATTTATTTCTGCAAAGCTTTCAATCCTCCAGATCTTCATCAGTGCTAATAATATGTAATAATATCCGGTATACGGATCGAAAGGTTTGCAGTAATAAATTTTCGTGGTGTTTTCACAAACAATAATAGGTACGTATTGCGTGCATATGGCTAGCCTATAGGATTGGCAATTGTTATAGCGTATAGCCAATTTCGTTCAAAATAAGTAAATTAATTGCTTGTTTGCAATCGAGGCCATCTTGGTTGATTTTTCGACCATTGAACCATAACTTTTCATTCTTTATTTTTTTGTTGTATGAAGCCAGATACCGTATAAACTATCCATAATGCGAATGAAAGTTAACGAATTTGATGAGAGTAGATGAAAGTTTATTACTCACTGTTCTAAAACCTGGACTGCCGCAAACTTTTGAATTCAGGTAATTAAATTTGAAGCCACAATATTTGTAATGACAAAATTTTTTTAAATCTGTCACATTCCTTACGAATCAAATCGTTACGTGTTTAAATTAGTTGTACTATCAAGTAAATATCTTCTTTTGTGTTTTATTAAATACCTTCTTCTACGCAACTTCAATTATAATATAGTCATTCACCGTATATGAGCTGTTCTGCAATGTGATTGGTTGAATTACTCGCCGTACATCAGCTCATATACGGCGAGTAGCGAAAAACAAGATGGCGGTCCAATAACTACATGAGTTTTGCGAAGCAGAAAAAAGGAAAAGATTCGCTTTGAGAAAAATAATAGTACAAGGAAAAACTCTCAAAAAAATTTGACAGGTTAGCAAAATACATTTATTACATAGAAATTAGTTTCAATACAAGTTTTTTTAAAGAATTAATACCGAAACAACAACGAAAAAAACATGTTCATTGTCCATTGAGAATATAAATTGTTCAGAAAAGTTTGCAACGAAATACAAATGAATTTGCAGTCAACAAGCACTTACTATACTATTGTCGTGAAATAGCGACAGACGCTAAAACACTAATGACTTTAATATAATCATATAGATATTGAATTACGCGCTTGACTTTGGATAACACAGATCTAGCACATGTCAATGTACAAATATTAGTAATCGCACACATACTCGAACTTGATTGGTTAGAATAATTTGCTTAGGCGTAAAATTACATTCGTGCTTTGGACACATTATTATTATATTTTTATGTTTGTATATAGTCTTGAACTGGCTCGCGTTATGGGAGTTACAAATTGTAATTAAGTAAATATATCATTGAAACTATTGCGTGAATCGTCCGTCATTATTCAGAACTTATTCATTGAAAGAACCTCCGCTTACGGTTCTCGATTGTCGTTGAGACGCCAATACACAACGCAAGTTAATAATACGCACAAACGAGAGACGATCGAGATATTGGTGCCGTGACCAGGATGGAGGATCTTAAACGCGCAAAGATAACTCGACGCGCTCAACGAGCCCAAGCAACAAAGACGTGGAATAAAGCAGAAGCGTTAATGAATGACGAGATCAACGAAACCAACATTCAACGACTACAAGTTGTGCTACAGACATTCGACACGAAAATCGAACAATTGAAAAAGCTCGACGAGAATATATCGTGTAAAATCGAGACCGAGAAAGAACTGGAAAGCGAGATCGTGGAAGCAGACGACTATCTAAGTGAGGTAATGGATAAAAGGTACCGAATACAATTTTTTATAAGTGCTAATCAAGCCACTACGGCAAGTCCTAACAACACGCTGTCTGCGGCGCAAAACTATAATCAAGGAGAACAATTGGCCTCTCAAGGTCACACTTACTCGCTGCAATTGAACAATTCGAGTGCGCATAGATTACCTAAGTTAGCCCTGCCGATATTCAATGGGAATCCACTAAAATGGCAAACGTTTTGGGACTCGTACAAAGCCGCAGTTCATGATAATAAATCTCTATGTGACATACAAAGATTCAATTATTTAAAAGCGCATCTGGCGGAAGAAGCGGCTAGATCAATCGAGGGTTTACCACTAACAGACACAAACTACGCACAGTCAGTCAAGATACTAGAAGAAAGATTTGGTCAACCACATAAAATCACAAACGCACACATGCAAGCATTGTTAGACCTCCCTAATCCATCTGAGTCCGTAACTAGTTTACGTGGGTTTTACGACCGCATGGAAAATCACGTCCGAAGCCTTGAAGCTTTGGGGAAAACACAAGACTCCTACGGTGATCTCCTAGTGCCCGTTATCTTGAGCAAGCTTCCGACCACTGTAAAACACAATCTTATTCGAGAACATGGAACCACGGACTTGAGTTTAGAACAATTGCGCAAAGCTATTTCGAAGGAAATCCTTATACTCGAGGCAGGTGAAGAGACAAATAAACTTAACAATTTAAGTCAGTCACCTGATACCCTCCCTTCCATCTCCAGTTTATTAACGAACACTAGCAGATACAAAAACCTTGGGGGAAATTACAGTAACTCAAAGTTTAAAACACCACCTAACCCCTCCAAACCGAAGGCGTGTACCTTCTGTAATGGATCTCACAAACCGAACGACTGTACGGTGGTAAGTGATCCTGCTGCACGAAAACAAATTGCGTTTCAGGCGAACTTGTGTTTCAACTGCCTTAATAACCATCGCGTGTCACAGTGCAAATCCAAAAACCGCTGCAGACAATGTCACCAAAAACACCATACAAGCCTTTGTGTAGGGAATAAAGAGCGCCCAGAACAACAAAAACCTGACCCAAACACGCGTCAAAACATCAAAGACAAGGACAGAAACGTGCAATGTATGTGTACCAACGGTGGCGACGTAGCTCAAACAACCAACACAAGCGAACAAACATCTGGTAACAACAACACGTCAGCATCCGTTACGAACCTTCATACCAACCTATCCGACAACAAGTACTCCCACCGATATACCTTACTGAAAACAGCAATAGCCACCGTACAATCCCGAAACAGAGCCGCAACCGCACACATCCTGTTCGATGAAGGTGCCCAACGTTCTTTCATAACTGAAGAATTAGCAAACAGTCTCAACCTCGTGCCAGAAAGGACAGAACTTTTACACCTATCAGTCTTCGGTGGTGCCCAGACATCAGTGAAAAGAGTCGATATCGCAACCGTACATCTACAAACAGACACTGGTGGAATTATCCCAATCCAAGTAGTAATCATCCCAGTGATTGCTATACCACAAAAGAACCATATCACCACTGACATATACAACCTACCTTACCTCAAGAACCTCAAGCTAGCTCATCCCGTCACCAGCGATGACCAATTCGAGATCTCTCTCCTCATTGGTGCAGACCACTATTGGGACGTGGTAGAAGACAAGATTGTTCGGGGATCTGGACCTACTGCCGCCAAATCAAAGATTGGCTACCTACTGTCTGGACCAACTGCCATTCCCTACCCACCATCAGAACTCATCGCTACAGTCCTCAAGGCCATCGTTGCGACAGAACGGGAAGAAGAAATGTTAGAACGGTTCTGGAACTTGGAATCCATAGGCATTTTACCTGATGAAACCGAGAAAAAAGAAAGAGAGTTCGTTGAAGACTACCAAAATTCCTCAATTCACCTTGAAAATGGACACTATAATGCTAAGTTGCTTGGAAACCTAATCACCCACCACTTCCTACAAATGAAGCAATAGCAAAAGGACGAACCCGCTCCACAGTACGACGGCTTGCCACAGACCCCGAAAAGCTGAAAGCATACAACCAAATCATCACTGAACAACAACAACGTGGATTTATAGAGAAAATCCCCGATTCCGAAAAGATCCGAAGCAGATGTCACTACCTTCCACACCATGCTATCTTGAAAGACTCCTCCACCACTCCACTTCGTGTCGTCTTTGACTGCAGTTGCAAGACAAACGATAGTCAACCAAGCTTGAATGATTGTTTAGCTACTGGTCCTCCACTCTTAAACGACCTCACCGCGATCCTCATTCGATTCCGCTGCTATCGGTATGCCTTGACTGCTGATATCGAGAAGGCATTTCTCCACATAATTCTGGATGAGGAAGATCGGGATGCCACACGATTTTTCTGGATATCGGACCCAAAGGACCCGGAAAGTCCATTTGACGTCTATCGTTTTAAGTCTATCCTATTTGGTGCGTCGTGTTCACCGTTTATCCTAAATGCGACCCTCAAGAAACATCTCGAAAGTATTCACAACCCAGTCGCTGAGAAAATGAAGACCGATATTTATGTTGATAACCTCGCCACTGGCTCTGACAGTGAGGATGAAGCATCTACGTTTCTTGAAAGATCAAGGCTCATAATGTCACCTGTGGGCTTTAATCTAAGAGCGTGGAATTCTAACAACCCCACGGTTCGTGCATCAGCCGCAGACCAAGGCCTTCAAGACAAAGATCCAGAAACAAAGGTACTCGGGCTTCGATGGAATCCTAAAACTGATACACTCCAGTTTCAGCAACGGCAACCACCTAACGACGCCAACAATAGCATCACAAAAAGAGAAGTTCTCTGCAAATTCTCCAAGATTTACGACCCACTTGGCATCCTAACTCCAGTAACCATTCGAGCCAAGATACTTATACAAGAACTGTGGAAAGAAGGGTACAGTTGGGACGAATCTTTACCACAAGAGCTCCACGAAAAATGGTTGGCACTCTCTAAGGATTTGCAAACTGCCACACAAACCGAAATTCCTCGCCGTTACTTCCCCTCTTCATCAACATGGCCACCTAGCACTTCCCTCCACGTATTTGTCGACGCCAGTGTTAAAGCATATGGAGCAGCTGCTTATATCACTTGTGGTTCCGAAACATCATTGGTTATGGCCAAATCCCGAGTTGCGCCTCTCAAGAAACTTACCTTACCACAGCTCGAGTTAATGGCAGCTGTACTTGGTGCAAGACTGTCTTCATACCTCCAAGCCCATTTACAAGCGTCCGACGTTTACCTCTGGTCGGATAGTCAAATAGTCCTCCACTGGTTGTCCTCTAAGAAAGATTTGAAGCGATTCGTCCACAACCGCGTCACCGAAATCCAGTCGCTCACACAAACTGCCTCATGGAACTATTGTCCAACTGGGGATAATCCCGCTGACCTCCTAACCAGAGGAATGCAGACTGGTGAATTATCCACATCCACTCTCTGGTCTCGTGGTCCTTCGTGGCTAAATACAAAGAAGAACTGGCCCAGCTGGAATTCCAAATCTGTTCTCCTCCAGTCCACTGCAGCAGAACAACTCGAAGCCATCTCCACCATTACTAGTGAACCAACAAACAACCTAACTAACGTACCTGAACCTAAACATGGAATTGCCAAAATTATCAATCTGTCTGCTTATAGTAACCTCCATAAGCTAGTACGAGTCACAGCGTGGGTTCTACGCTTCGTCGATAACCTGAAGAAAAGAACTCATTCTGGTCCATTATCTGTCACTGAACTAGATTCTGCTCTAATGTTTTGGATTGTTGATTGTCAATCTGTTGTGTATTCAAACGAACTTGTCAACCTACAGTCGAAGACATCTAACCGATCATCATTGGTCAGACAACTTCGTCTATTTCTCGCCGAAGGCATCATCCGCTGTGGTGGAAGAATACATAATGCTCCTCTTCAAGAATCTGCTAAGTTCCCCATTCTCCTCCCACGAAACCATCATCTTACACAGTTGATTGTGGAGGATGCACACAGAGCAACCCTTCACTCTGGACAAAACTCTACCCTTACCCACCTCCGTCAAAGATATTGGATACCTGCTGCCAGACAATACATTAAGAAGATCATCCGTCGTTGTGTAACGTGCCTCAAAACTACAGGCAAACCATACACGGTACCAGACCCACCACCACTTCCAACAACTCGAACAAATGATTCATCCCCATTCACCATTACTGGGGTCGATTTTACAGGCGAAATCTACGTGAAATCAACCAACGGTCGATCGAAGGTGTATATTTGCCTGTTCACTTGTGCAAGTACTTGTGCTGTTCACCTTGAAGTCGTGACCGACCTAACAGTTCTGACCTTTATTGAAGCTTTCCGTCGATTCGCAAGTCGCAAGTCACTGCCAAAAGTCTTGATCTCTGACAACGCCTCCACCTACCAGTCCGCCAATTGCCAAACTGTATCCATTAGAGGTTAGAGCTACAACCTCCTTTGGTATTTGTCCCACAACTGACGAACCAAGTGACGAGAAAGATCAACCATCCGAGAACCCGCCACAGAGAGAGAAACGATCAGCAGCAGTAGCAGCAAAGAAGAGAAGATCTAGAACATGTCAATGTACAAATATTAGTAATCACTCATACTCGAACTTGATTGGTTAGAATAATTTGCTTAGGGGTAAAATTACATTGGTGCTTTGGACACATTATTATTATATTTTTATGTTTGTATATAGTCTTGAACTGGCTCGCGTTATGGGAGTTACAAATTGTAATTAAGTAAATATATCATTGAAACTATTGCGTGAATCGTCCGTCATTATTCAGAACTTATTCATTGAAAGAACCTCCGCTTACGGTTCTCGATTGTCGTTGAGACGCCAATACACAACGCAAGTTAATAATACGCACAAACGAGAGACGATCGAGACAGGAATTTCGTAAATTTTGTTTTCCAGTCACGGCAGGTCAAAACTTTCCTGGGTAAACCATAAACAGCGTTGATAACATCCAGGTTCTGAGAATCTAGTTTGGATTTGGGACTTAAGGTAGGGAATGGTAACCACACACTCGTTTTACTCTGTTGGTGAGTCTGCTGGTGTTAAAATAAATAAATAACATGCTTTTGTGGTGGATTCTACATTCCACGATTTGTCTACATTGTTGTGAATTGTTTCAAAGCATTTAACAGCGAGGAAAATTTCAATAGAAACAGACAATCCATCAATTCTTGCCACCCATCTAGTTTTGCAGACATTGATCAGACGTGTATGACTTGATGCATGACAAATTTCTTTAATAGTCTTGACCAAAAGCTCGAAACACTTGGGAGAAAAGTTTAAAAATTCTGAGGCGACACGAACATGATCCATCATATCTCTTACAAGTTACAGTGGACATAAAGGGCTTTCTTATTAATTTCTTGAATCCTAGCTGCTGCTCCAGATAGCCTCCCCGCCATATTTCCTGCTCCATCATAACCCTGATTACGACAGTTATCAACTGGTAAATTCTGATCATGAAGGAAATCTTTGATCGTAGTGGCAATAGCATCGCCTGACAAACCCCTGTTGCATTGAAGGAAACCAAGAAACTGTTCTCTAATGCGATGTGTTTCGTCCACAAAACGAACAACGAGACTAAGTTGTTCTAATTTCCCACAATTAGCTGCTTCGTCAGCGAGAACAGAAAAAACCTTGCTTTGCAGATCTCATCTGTAATTTTCTTTGTATTGAGGTTGCCACAAATATCAATAATTTCATTCTGGATGGTCTTGGATTTGTACGTCAGGTTCTTTGAGGTGCTCTTGAAAAACTCTTCCAGTGTCCGTCCCTGCGCATACTGCTCCATACATATAAAATTGCCACAGTCGACGTCATCTGACAGATAAATTGAAGAATCATCTCTGTGTCCTTGTAGAGAAATATTTTGCCTTCCACAAAGAACAATTGCTCCAACGATGGGTCTTAATATTTGTCTGTTCTCTTCTATTTGTTGCCTTTTCATTTCATCCAGCAAAACATCAATGGGTTCCGATTTCTTTTCCATGTGCAGTCTCACAATATTGCTGCACGTGATGTGGCTGCTTTGTGTAGTGGCGACTTCTCCGAATGCTCACGAAACTTGGTACATGCAACTTTCCGTGTTCTTAAAGGGGGATGTAAATAGCCTGTGAGTTTACTTGTGTTGTGTACACCTTTACATTCCAAACCAAATAACACACAATTTATGCAGAAAGCTCCATCCACCTTTTGTGAATATGCTAGCCACGGGAATAAGTTCAACCATTCAAAACGGAACTTTCTTTTGTTGTTGTCTAATGGAAACGTGTATGTTGCTGATGGTCGCCAAACATTACAAAGAACGTGGTACTTTCGTTCATCAGTTAACGAGGATGCGTTTGCATAATTGACAATTTCTGTGGGAAAACTAGAAGGATCCGGTTTTGAAAATGATTCTTTTTGTACCAGCGAGCTGCTTGGCCATTTCTTCGGTTGTTGGTTATGAATTTGAGCCTCTTCATCACCACTTCGCTCGGCGAACTTTCTTTTCTTCAGAAATAAATTATCAAGAACAGCTTGCTTTTTTTTTAAACTTTTTGTGTACCAGAAGATGAAGGCTATGGAGCGGATGAAGGTTGATGGCCAGATGAGGGTTGGGGAGCAGACAATGCCTGTGATATTTTTCCAGCATATGAAGGGGTCTTCCTTATTTTGGTCGGACTTGCATCAATACCAGAGAGAACGGGCTTCATAAAAAACTTCTGAATGCAGGTTGGGTCACTGATGTTGTCTTTTGGCTTACAAAGGGCAACATAATGGTTTTTACATGCAGGAATTTTATTCACCACAGAATAATCTATTGGCATCAATGCACACCGAAAAATGTGAATCCTCTCATCAGAATTCAATTTAGTTGTTACTTGTGGCTGAATAGTGCAATTAAACATTGTAGACAAAGAATCTTTCTTCTCTTCGGAGGTGCTTTCATTTGTTGTTGGGATAGGAAAGTATGCCTCAATTGGAAGGCTTATTGCACTTGACAATGCAAGAAGGCAAAGGAACGAGCTCCACTGGCGATTCAATGCATTGTTGTATGATTCGGTTACAACAGATTTAGTAAGGTCATCCTTAGCAAGCGAATCCAGAGTTATATCGGATAGGCACATGGCAAAAGCATTTGCAATGCAAGAAAATGCGCCTTTGTTATGCTGCTGCTCTAAGATAGGGAGTTTCACATAAGACAAAGAATTTAGAAAAAGCTCAATGCTTGTAATAAAACGCAGGTAAGGTCCAAAGGTCTTGTTGCCACACAAGGCAATGGAACAAGCATTGTACAGGCAGTTTCCATCTCCTGTTGTCCTAAAAAGGGGTGAACAAGGAAAACCATGTAAGCCCAATGCTGAAATAGTTATTTATTGGTTGGTTTATGAATGTTCACCCTCATTTAATTCAACATCAAATATTAAACAAATCATATGATATTAGGCCGCAGGAATAATTTAAGAAAGTAATGAGTATAGAAGACTAATGTTGACCTTTCTAATACCTCCAGGGCACCCATAATCAAAAAGTGTGCACCTCATCAGTCATGTAACTTTACTTTTTTGAGCACTTGCCCCCAGGGCAAGTTGGTCATAAAAATTAGTTGCCCTGAATAAAATTCACTTGCAATCAGACAATGGCTACCAGGGTACCGAGGTAGGGGGTATAAAGTAGGGGGTATAAAGTAAGGGAACAACTTGCTCGTCATGTAAGGGTTTCGTTGCCCGTCAATTCGTCATGATACTGTATTCACTTGCCTGTGGCAAGCAGGCAAGTGTTAAGTTACACCTCTGCTTATCATAGCTACAGTACTCATAAAATTAAAATTAGACACCCTAGTTATGTAAAATAAAATTAAAATTAGACACCCTAGTTATGCATTTAAGATTAACACAAATTCAAATGTTGAAGTTTTCATGTGTCAAACCAGACACGGATGAGTGCAATCACTAGATTTATGTCATTTACACTGGGTTATGAACATGGTAAGTGCAATGTTTGAGCTACAGTAAGCCGGCACAAATTTGTAATAGTACAGAATATCAAGATTCAAGAATGTGAATTTAGAATTTTGGGGTACTCCTATTTTATTTACACATGCCTTCATGTGAATCAACGTCAATGAACACATGGCCTGATTTGAAAATTGCCTGGCGTTAGACAGAGTAAAATACTAAAGTAGGGTGCATCGGGGTGCAATGCAACTCAATGGGTTAATATTATATTTAAGTACTGTGGCCTTTTAACTGTATGTTCAACCCTTGCAAAGTCAATCCTAATTGTGGAGGTGCCAATAGATATCAACTGTCTGAATGTGCCCCACACGAAATTTCCAGTGGTGTGATGTAAACATACTACCTGCTTAAAGTTATAGGAAGATAGTCAAGAGATAGTGAGCAATAAAATGGCCAAAAAAATCAGGAGGCAGGTATCCCAAGTAATCAGTCTAACAATATCTCCAGGAATTTCTCTAGCCATCTGACCACATCAGGCAGCCTTCAGGATTTCACTCGATATCAATGGAGAGCCATGGGTTTGGGGTTAAGATTAGCAACATTATAGCAAATCACAAACTTAACACCACATCTTGGTGAAATGGACCATATCGGTACCAGGGCTGGGTTTACCAGCTGTATATAAACAACCTCATTTCACTATTTTTTTAACTCTCTGTGCCAGTGATGTAATGTATGTAGTGATAATAATATATATTATAATATAGCATTTGTAAATTCTGAACGTTGATTGGCTAAGAGCCGTGTTGATGTAACTCAATGTCAACACGGAAACTTCGGAAAATTTCTTTCTTTGTGCTATATTATAAAACAAATATAAAACATTTTTCCGTATTGATATAGAGTTATATCAACACTCGTGGAAATTGGGAAAACTCGAAATTCTGTGAAAACACTCCGCCCTTCGGGCGTCGTGTTTCCACACAATTTCTCGTTTTCCCAATTTCCACTCGTGTTGATATAACTGTATATCAACACGGAAAATGTTTCATATTTGTTAAATATTCATCGATAGGGATGCAACTACCTTATATTTTTCTCAGGTAGTTGCATCACTACAAATTTGACTATTGGAATTCTAAACTGTATTTTACTGCAATGTTGCCATATCTTTAATATAATATCATATGACTTGGGGGTCTTGGTATTCCGTGCATTCCAAATGAAGCAGAATTCAATCTAAGCTCGTCAAAAGTTATCAGCGCGCAGTTATGCGCCCAAATTGTCAAGCAATCGATCATTGGGCTTCCATCAGCAGAGGCCTTGTCTCATGCTAAGTTAACTGTTTGTTCGAAATGACAGGAGAGAAAGATTGCATGCTGCCTCCTTCTCACTCCATCATCAACTATCCGCAGATCAGTCCAGAACTGTTCTGTTGGCTTGCGACAAAGGTGCTTCTGGATGGCTCAATATACTGTACCTTTGCAGGAAGAAGATTTGCTTTGAACAAAGAGGAATTTCGAGATGCTTTGGCCTTGAGGTATGATAAACACATCCCCGATCTAGCAAGCAACTGCCCGTGCGGAGTCCCATTTAATACCGACCATGCAATGGATTGTAAAAAAGGTGGTTTTATACATGCACAACACGATAATCTACAAAATCTCGAAGCGGCTTTGTTGTCGGAAGTGTGCAAAGATGTTGCGATAGAGCCAATCCTTCAACCAATAACTGGCGAATGTTTTGACTGAAGGTCAGCTAATACGGAGAATGGAGCACGTCTGGATGTAAAAGCAAGGGGATTTTATAGGCAAGGCCAATGTGCATTTTTCGACGTTAGAGTTGCACATGTAAATGCCACGTCTAACAAATCCCAACCAATCGAGAATATCTTACATTGACACAAATGGAAAAGAAGACGGCTTATAACAAAAGAGTCATTGAAATCGAACAAGGAGTTTTCACACCACTAGTTTTTGGATCAAATGGGGCGATGGGCAAAGAATGTCTTGCTTTTCATAAAATGTTGGCATTGAAGCTCGCAGAAAAATATAATAGACCATATTCAACGACAATGGCATATTTGAGAACAAAACTTTCTTTTAGTTTAATTAGGTCAGCACTGTTATGCCTACGTGGAACAAGAATACCTTTTTATAGCGAAAATTTATCTTTTAAATTTTACATAATATTGTAGAAATAGTTTAATTAGGTCAATCCTGCTATGCCTACATGGAACAAGAATACCTTTTTATAGCGACAATTTATCTTGTAACTTTTAAATTTTATATAATATTGTAGAACTAATTTTTTACTATTGAATATAATATCATATTACATACATTCACATAAGTCTGTTTTTTTGTGCTGGTGAATAATATAAATAATTTCTATTTTTGTCACTTTAGTATTGATATAGTATCGGTAATAAATTGCAAATTATAAATCCATCTTGTGTTATTAAATTGACTGTTAATTTATAACATTTATACCGAAATACAACACCTAGTACTAACTCATACATCGAACGAATTCAATATACACATGACAAATATCATTTCATATTCGTCCATGATAAATCGAAATACATGTCCCGAAAACAGACTTTATTAAGATACAAATATATTCTAAGAGACAGAATTAAGATTTGGCATTGACTCGTATACAATATATATTATTCATGAGGCTTACCTGACAGGAAAGTAAGTTGCACAGCACTGTTGTTCACTTTGCGGGAATTGCAATTGAGAAAATTCGCACACGAATACTTTGCGATCTGCTTTCTTCGTCTCATTCACAATAACCTGGTCAATTTACTGGATTTCTCTGCAAATGAAAGCTTTTCATTCAGAATACAAAGAAGCTCATCAAAAGGATCAGTCGAAGCCATGCTTGCTTTGAAATGAAGAATAGCTATCGTGTTATTCACTGAACACAGATCACATCAGCCAGAAGCAGTGGCCAAATGTTGGCCACCATAGCAAACTGTAGCATTTGCCAGATTTTGATTGGTTTGCTTCGATTGACCGTAGCAAACCAATCAGAATGCCGCATATGTAAATTTTCGGCACGGTCATATTCATTAAGGTTGAATCTGACCGTAGCGAAAATTGGAATAGGAAAGGAATATGCCATCGCATGGTACGTAAAAAAGGTTGAAAACGATCGATTTAACCCGAGGAGTTGCATAAAATCCTGAAATTGAAAATTTGAATGTAAACAAAATTACAGCAATATAATTTGACTGACTTTGGAAATTTTCCTTGGAAAATCTGACCGTAGCATATGCTACAGTTGCAATGGTCTGGATCCGCCCCTGTGCAGTGATTGGAATGAGTGCTTAAATGCTTGTGGCCTTCAGTATATGAATCTTTGGAATATAAACAGATACACAGAACCTTTATTTTTTAATCTTAAAATCTTGAATATCTACAAAATTAATGATCATCTTTGCAGTCTATTTATGTATCGCTGCATGAATTATGATCAAAATTTGCCAAACCTTTACAATTGTCATTTTATTCAAAATAAAGAATTGCATAATTATAATACGCGAAACTCTTCAAAATTACACGTTAGTTACAAAAATCGTATTTTTCCTTTAAGAAAAAAGCAAAATTAAATTACTTGTTAATATAAATATTGTTAGCTAAAACATATATTATATATATTGAACCAATTTAGATTCATGTACTTTACTTTATTTTAATCAAAACAATATAGGGGCCTTATATCAAAAGTCCAACAGGATTTCAAAAGGTCCCTTGCTCCTTTATATTATTGTATTTTAACTATATATCCATTGTAAATATTTTTGTGGGCAAATATATTCTATTCTATTCTATACACTTTACGTGTATTACTCTTGAATTTATACAACTTAGTTCAGAGCCATCAAATTGATATTTGCAAATTTGGGAATGAAATTAATAAAACCAATATATTGATAATACATACATTGTGTGAAAGACTGGGTCGAGAGGAATACTGTGCAAGAATAATGTGCTGCCTCACTAATGCTCAGTAGTAATTAACCCATTGAGTCGCATTTCACCCTGATGCACCCAACTTTATTATTTTACTCTGTCTAAACACCATATTATTTTACTCTACCTAATGCCAGCTGACTTTACTCATCAAGGGCAGAGCAATGGCACTTAATTAATGGGTTGATAAAAACTAAACTTTAAAAAATTTATTTGTATAGGTGAAACATTTCCTTTTTTCAATTGGTGTTACCCAGGATGTGGTACAGTATTTGAGGATGAAAAGGTTTGAACATGTCTAATTATGTTATCTTCCTTTGCATATTCTCACTTTGAAGTGGAATAGGTGCACATTCAGGGGGGTTTAATTGCTCATAGGGGAGTTTATTTTAAGTACAATTGAGATATTTTATCTTAATCTTGTTACGAGCGAGAAAACTTTTTGAAACGTTTACAAGTGAGATCTCGCCTTGGTATGAAAATATTATGAAAAGTTACACTGCGTTCATATAAGACAAAACGTTTTCCCGTGTGTGTACCAAGATCTCGCTTGTTCATGTTTTTCCCATAGGAACACAACTTTCCCGCTTAGCAGGATAACTTTCTGTTGTGTCAGCAACTTTTCAGTTCAATTGATATTCAGTGCTATGTCACAGCCTCAAACTGTAAAAAAACCGTAAGCGGGATAACATTTCTCCATGTGAACAGAATAAAAAAGTATTTGGCTAGTGGAAAAGTTTTCCTGTTAACAGGGATAACTTTTGCCCATATGAACAGGCCCTTAAAGATGAAAGGAGCTGTTTTCTTGCGTAAATGTTGTGCCATCTTGAGATATGGACACATCGAAGGACAGCCATTTGCTACGACCCAGTTACTGCTCCATTCAGCGACGAGCAGTGGTATCAAAATGTCCGGGTAACTAGAGCAACATTCACATTCTGTGTTATTTAAATTTGTTTTTTAACTTTGTTTTTTTTTAAATTTTTGGCAAGTTGCAGTTTTTCGCCGCTTGCTGCTGCCATGTTAGCAAGAGGACAATATGTTTTGCGCATGCTCAATGTTGACACTTTTTTTCCTGAAAGTTGGGCTTGCTAGACATGCCGAGACTACCTCGTGAGAAAGTCTCGGCACATTTAAATTTTGCGGCACTGGTGCCGATTTTTGTCACGTTAACATGCCAAAAGGCAAAGGTGCCATGCCTAAAATTTTGGGCACGGGTGCTCATTTCTAGGGGTGCCATGCCCAAAACACTGGTCGATAAACCGGCCTATAATTGAATAATAATAATTAAACAATTAAAATATTAATTGTCATTATTAATAATGACTATTATTATTTTAATTGATATTAATAATAATTTTTAATTTCAAATTTGTTTTTGACATATTTTATTTTTAATAAAAAATGCAAGTGGATAGTACTTACATTAAACTGTTTCATAAATTTTCCAATACAATGTACAATTGGTACATATGCCTTTGAAAATCTTCATCTTCCGTATCCATGGAAATTGAAAATAGAAAATGTCTAAAGAAAACTGGATTGCCAGCCTTCTGGAAATAATTTGCCTGTCTACTTATACCCTGAGTTTAAATTTTACTTTTAACATTTAGTTGCCACAAAGACTGCCTTAGATGTTATCCAGCATGGGAATGTCAGTTTTGAGCTGCTCCATTTTATAGGAGATACTACGCATTGTATCAAATAACCACTGAAAATCCTTAAATGATAACAAATGAGAAATACAAAAATTAAAAATAAAACCTAACCTGTGCAGAGTATTTTAATTTATTCTGATAACAAATGAGAAATACCAAAATTAAAAATAAAACATAACCTGTGCAGAATTTATTCTGCCATTTGTGCAAATATGTTCTAAACTGATTATATTATCAGATAATACTTAATAAAAGTGCCCAAGAAAGGAAATTTTTACTTCATTTTTCATTCACAAGAATGATGTTTACAGTATCATCATATCTCATCTCATTCTCAAGTTATCGCACTTTCTATATTTTGAGTTGTGACGTGTCTATAATTGAATTAATTAATTAATTGGCAGTAATTTACTATTTGAGTTATGATTTTAAAATTTTGGTCTATCAATCAAGCATACTATAAGTTTTATCTATGCTACTTTAATAGGAAAATTTATAGTCAAATTCAATTCATTGTAATTTTGACATTTTCTCTAATACATTATTCATATACTGTAGACTAAATGCTGTCACATTAATAAAGATCATTAATAATCATTATAAATTTCAGCCCTGGCACTGTAAATGCACTGATACATGCCTGTGATAAGTGAATGATTAATTGATTATTAAATTATAGTTGATAAATTTATCATATGCAAATATATAGTTAATTTATTCATCTTAAATCTAAAAATCACATTTATAACTGTATAAACAAATAAACTTTGTTTTCTGGCAAGTAAAAATACCAAAAAAGTATCAAATATCCCTTATCCTTTGCCGGCCAGGAAACATGAATGCTGATCTGTAGACTGTACAGATCATGCAATTTTCCAAAGACTTATATAATCCCCAGGGTTCACTCAAACAAGATATTTGGGACAGTCTTAGAGATGCATAATTTCAGTTAAACTTTTTCCTGGTTTGGTTTTTAATAAAAAGGGTGAGGGTAATTCTACACGTCATTGGTATTATTTTACTAACCTGGAAGGCTTTTTGACTATGTCAGATACTGATGATTCAGATGCAAGTCAGTAGGACTGGAGAGGATTATGACCATGAACAGCATAAATTATCATCTAATATATTAGGGAAAAGGTTGGGTGACAAATGATTTGGACAAAAGCACAACAGCTATAAAGAAGGCAAAAACCACTTTTGATTGGTCTTTTTTAAAAGACAGTGGGAATAATGATGCTCATAGTCGAATTAAAAAGAAAAGAAGCTATGGAACCAAGCATGTTTGCTTGTCTTGTGCCAATAACAAAGACCAAATCAAAATCAATAATATGCAGAGGCACATTTGGTCAGTTAAAGATCGAGACACTATGAACGTAACCATTGCACACCTGGTTCTAAGTGTATGAACACAAATATAAGCCAGTTTAAAAAAATAGTGCCAATGGATCACTTATCTGTACCACACCACATTTGTGCCTTAACTACAGAAGGAAAATCAAACAATGAACCAGTCTCTGCAAAATCAATCATAGTGCCAGTAGCATCTCTCCCTGCAAATGAGAGCAGCAATTCTACAATTACAGCCACCGAAACTGGTAAAACAGCGTGTAAAAATCTTCAAGATCCAATATCTCCAACTGAAATTGAGTCAGATTTAGATGAGCCAAGTGTAGATGATCAGCCAAATTTATCTGCTTACAAGAAACAGAGTACGCCTTTGCAAAGTGGTATAGAAGGGTACATAAACATATCAAAACCAGATTTCGAAGCAAAAATGCTAGAAATGGTTGAAAGCATTAGCAGAAAAGTGGACAGACTAAGCATTTCATCAGGTTTCGTCAGCACAGGCAGGGTTATCATCCTCCGGGTCAACACCTGATGAATTTAGTAAACAAATGAAGGAGAGTTATGGTAAAATGAAGGAATGGAAGAATGTGAAATATTTGGCAGAATTAGTGACGAATATATTAAGAAGTGAAACATGCTTCACACTGCACAAGGATAAGGCAAACAAATTAACGGCTGCCCGAGCAGCACGCAAGTTGTCCAGTGACTGCTTCAGTATTTGCACTGGTAAATACCTAAATCAGATTGCATGACTTGAAATGATGTCTGGGAAGGGAGATAACTGGTGTAGGTTGAAAAGCAGAGTCGTACAACACATGATTTGTTCAAAGCCCTCGTGTTACTGACTGAAGCTTCCTGTACATAGTTGGTTTTCTTAAGAAAAAAGGAGAAAATTCTTACAAAGCTAGTCAGGTTCATTATTGTTTAAAAAGTGACACCGGACAATACCCGTTCCTCTCCTGATAATGAGTGAGTAAAATTACTGAGATCCAAAGATCTTTGACAAACATTGACATGTATGTTATTTGAACATTTATTTGTACACTAATAAAGTAGTAAACTATAGCTAATGTATTTTGGGAAATAAAAACGATACTCTAACATGTAGTGTCCCTATTTAGCAACAACTTCAGCTAAAATATGGTTTTTAGCACACGTTACTGGTGTAACATCAACCTTGCACCCAGAAACCCTGGGTAGAAGGTTGGTGTAACATTTTCTATTAAGATGGTTGATACAGCACACACAAATCAGTGGTATAACCTCCATTGGCACACATTGAAGGTTACAAGAGATTTTGTCCGGCGCACAAAAATTTAATATTCCATACTGGATAAAAATAGAGTCATGATCTTTCTCAGCGGCCAGTTTATAATAGTTATTCTTGTAAACCACCTATAAATCTATAATCTCTCCATGTATCTTCAGTTCTAAAATATTGTACTTTGGTTGATAATAAAGATTGTGACTCAATCTTTAATGACCGTTATCATATGGAAACCAAGCTTAAAACTGCAGATGTATGTGCACATCATTATTGATGTACAGTACATCGTTATTGAGATATATCAGTGTTTTTATAACGCATTTCAAGCATTTGTGTATAATGATGCCTAATGCTTTATGAGAAATTGAATAACTTAATAACTTGTAATGTGTGATGTCGCCTAAAGTGTGTTATCAAAAGAGCTTAAATACCGGAACATTAATTAACTAAGTACAGAATGTATATATAAAAAAAGTTATTCTATAGTCTTACAAGTTTATTAATTTTTAAGACCATATTAATTTCTGTTTCATATGCAGTTTAATGGTTTTTTGTGCTGTTTTTGTAGACAGGAATGAAATATGGACAAGAGCTGGCACTTGATTTACTTCAAACAGTGTCCAACATTACATTGGAGAGAAGTAATATAACCCAAACATTAAAGCAAAGCAGAAAATTTGAATGAGCATGAAAGGCTGCTGGGAATTGCTTTGAAAATTAATTAAATTGTTAACGATTCCCATTTGATTTTTCCGCTTTGCTTGTGGGCAACCTTAATTGAAATAGCTGTATATAAATCAAGTGATTTGTGTAATACATTTGTGAACCTTGTCCTTAAGGATGAAATGGCACAAGGTAGGGATGGCGTAAAGCAGGAAACTCACTCCATTTTCTGAGAGGAGATAACATGTCACTACTTTGACAGTGGAAAAAGCTTTGTACCAAAAGTTGGTCCAGACAGTTGCTACCAATACACTCAGCAGATGGATCAAACACTTACTTTAAGTGGAATCGATACTTCGATATTCAAAGCCCACAGTACTCGGGCAGCGAGTGTAAGCAAAGTTAGTAACTTTCTACCAGTTGATGTGATACTAATGCATGTGGGATGGTCATCAGACTGTGTGTTTCGAAAACATTATAATAAACCTATTGTAGATAATAATCTTTTCAAAATACTGTGTTACAATAAATGTTTTTGCATAACATGTTTGTGTTGTTGGTTGTGTACACAATTGCTTTGAAGTCTCATGTTAACCGGAAGCACATAACTACGGTTTGGTAGAATTGGAAATTAAGTCAGTATATTAACATCTCTGGCAAAATTTTTGGCTAATAATTTAAGGGACCGAACTTGGCAAAGAAGTGGAAATTTTTAATAATTTTTTTGGAACAAATGGCAAAAGTAATGCGCAAGATCACAAGTCCAAGGACAGCGCAGTTTCCCTGAGACGCACAAGATCCCATGCATGCAGTGTTCCAGAACCAGAATGTTGCCACTTGCAATCCACGACCTCAAACAGAGTGAGTTTGTTCCATATTTATATACTTCTCTAATATATAAAGTTATTGAATTTCCTGCTATTACACTAGTAATATATAATTTTATGTTACTCTTGATCCTGCTGTCCTACATGAGCTATATAATAAGATTAATCAGTTATTTTTCATTAATCAAACCTGGGAAATCCCACACTTATTAAGTGTCATATACATAGTTGCCAAGTTTTCAAAAAAGTTAGGTGTGGGATTTTCTCAAAACTGCACATACCATAGTCAGGCGAACAGTATGTATTACAATGGCGGCAATTCTGATCATATTTGTTGCGGCGACCTCATTCTTATACATGTGTGTCTAACGGCAAAGCATGATGAAATTCTCACTAAAATGAATTTTAATAAGGTTTGAATCTGCAATTTGTCAGCAATTTCTCGTGAATCATGTTCTTGTCCTGAATTTTGTGGCATTTATCGTGTTTATTGTTAAAGTTTTTATGTTATAATTTTGAAATGATCATGATTTGAAAGATACTTTTGAAAATGTGTGAGAATGTGTGAGAAGACAGGAGAAAAGAAAATATCGGGACCGATGTTGAGTTTCTTGACAGCTTTATACATCGCTATACCACTTCGGAGAAGGGCAGGAGACAAAAGGAAAAAACCAAGAATACATTAATGTAAAGTTCCACATAGATGCCAAAGGGAAGTGTCTAAAAAAGATGCAAGACATCAAAAGAAAAGTCATTCTATCCATTATCATCGATACTTTGAAGATGTGTTTCTCCAGCTATTAAGAAACAATCTACTCACATATGAAATGCATTGACCCATCATATTGGTCTGAGGATAGGGATTATGGAAATGAAGATATATCAGCATTAGTGAAACATTTTGAGAAACCCCCTCTCTTTCACCGCCTTTGACCCCACTCGGAAATGACCATTGTGGACTACGAAAGAAAGGAATGGAATCATCAATCATGCGGTAAAAATTTACCTCAGGAAAAAGAAGCAAAGAAGTTGATCCAGCAAACCGAGACCAGCGAAGAAGCAGAAATTGGACGATGCCGGCAATACCTCTTTTGCTGAAAGTGTAGACCTTACACAGAGAGTTCTGGCAACAAAAGCATCTCAGACCAGGAAAGTACAAGCAGTGACAGTGACAGTTTTGACACTATGTCCAATTTCCATGAAGAATCTTTGAACAATTGATTAGAAGAGACAGTGTAGATGCAACATTTAGCTCGCAAAATATATTTTGAGCATCACACAAAAGGTCAAAAACCTGCACCTTGTAAATATTTTGGTAGTTAAAGGTCAGGTTTTTTAAGGCAGTTAATGTTTTAATTTGTAAATCAACAAGATTATTTCCAAATTGTGTCATATCTAGATATGTGGGGGGCCTAACAAAAATTCACAGCGCACGCAACATATTTTGTGTGCGCGATTAACCACTCTGACGCAAATTTTCTTAGGGCAAGATCTGAAACAAAAGCAATTTTGGAGACTGCTTTGGTCGCTTTCATTGTGCTTGCTCAAATTATATGTATTTACTTTTTTAACTGTAAGTCTGTCAAAAGTTGGTTAATTGATAAATACTCTATACATTATTTATATTATTCTACCTGCTAAAGAAGCAAATTAAAGGTGATGTTCTTCTACATCTATTGTCTTGTTAGTATTATAATATGATTATGTTTAAACTAGAATGTGTATTCGATGTTAATGTTTAATTAACTGCAGCTCAACTTTAATCACCGATTAGATAATTATTTGGCTGGACAACACTGGGTAACTATTTAATTATTTTTAATGTTACGTGCTTTCAATTTGATGTAATAACTCCACATACAACTGTTCTGCCTCATCTACTGTTGTTGGCATTTGTAGCCGATTTTCTCTCATAATTGCAGCTAATTCCTTGAACTCAGGTTCGCAGCCATTTGGCGGATTTTGAAGACAGCACATTTCTCCTGCAACTTTAATGTCTGCAACACTAAAATTTTAAATTATACTTGCTCTTTGAATAAATTACAAGTGACGTCATGCTAATAAATTAATAAATTACAAGTGACGTCATGCAAATAAAAGTTTTAAAATATAAAAGTACTTACCCTAAACACTTGTATCATATATGATACTTCTTTAACATTATGTTAATAATAATAAATAATAATAATGATTTATTGGTAATATATCCACAGAGTGGCTCTCTGCTTACCAAATTATACAAATTATAAAGTATTCATAAAGTCTATAAACTATTTGATGAATATTACTGCAACAGGGCTTTCAAAATAAGCCAGCGGCCGCCGGAGCTCCGGTGGGTGCCACAAGGTTCACCGCAGGTTACTTTGTTTAGTACTTGAATGATCAATCCTGCTCTCCTTCCTCCAACTCTAAGCTTTCAAACAAACTTATTGCTCCTCAACTTGGTCTATACTTTATAGCCTGGTTATTTTCGAAAATGGCGTACTATTTCGTAAAATTGATTTAGTTATTCGCCATCTTAAATCTTGAAGTTATCTTGTTGAAGAATGAAAGTAGTGATACATTATAATTTGGCTACAGAGTTCAGTTGTGTTGCTATCTAATCAATATACACTAGTTTAAGACCCCCTAGACCGCCTCCTCCCAACAGCTGCCTACTTTATCAAAACAGACACCTACTCAGAATAATTCTGAAAGCCCTCCTGCAATACAACTTTAAATATATAACGTGTTCAACGGGACAAAATATTACTTACAAAATTACGAATTAACTAAGTTAGAACAAAACTGTAAGAACTATATACATTTAAATATTTCTTTCTAAGATTATCCAAGTCTTGCCCATGCTTTCAAGACTAAGAATTCTTGGTCTCATTGTAGAATACTCTGTAGTCTCTGCAGTTCCTAATTTCTTCTGGTAATTGGTTAAAAAGATGTGCTGATTGGTCCTGTAATGTGTTCTTAATTAAAGGGACTTGAAGCTGAGAGCCTTTGCTTGATCTCAGAACTCGAGAATGTTGAACCAACTGTAATTTTTGATAACTTGGCAAATTTTCATTGTGAAGCGCTGTGTAACTTTATTTTAGAACGTTCCATTCACATTGTTCCTTGATAGGCAACCAGTTTAATGATAATACGTCAGCTGATCTATGGGAGGAAGCATTCAGAGAATGGGAGGAAGCTAGTTGTGCGGTGGATGACATCATGACTGTAAATAGATCCAATAGCTTTATAGAGCTAAGCAGAATGTGAAACTCCATTGTTATCAATCTCGTACCCTGAGCCACACAATCCTCTGGAAGAAACGCGAGGCTCTGGGATCATTTTAATTTAATAATCATAATATGGTCCCACAACAGCATAACACCTAACTACTGCAGGCCCAATAACAAATATCTAACAAACAATGACAAATTAACAATGTTAGACAACTAAACAAGTATGTATGCAAACCAACAAACTTATGTTCTATAACACACTACAAAAAATTAATGTATTAACAGCAAGATGCTGGATATGCAAGATAATCCGTTGCCAGAAGCCAGGAATCCTGGCTTAATTTTCGTTCTATTGCTACATTCCATTCCATATCAACGGCCAATCAGATTCCTCCCTGAAAAATATTATCCCAGAGCCTCACATTCCTTCCCGAGGATTGCAGGCTCAGGGCACGAGATTGCACTGTTATAAAAAATCTAGCCATAGTTATTATGAAATAGTACCTCATATGCCTGCCAAGCTCATGTGAACACTTTTAACTAACAGCAAAAATAATATATATGATGTGTACATGCCAACAGTATACAGTTCCTGGTCAGGTAATAAGATATGCCACTCTGCCTTGTGAATGATGTGTCAACAGTGAGTTAATCCATCGTTTTTTCCCCTTTTAGACCAGGTAGCTCAAGAGATATTAGAATGATGCATAGTTCTTTCCCATGTAATGCATTTAGTATAGATGGAGCAGTTTCTGGATTTGCAAAAACAATGTTCAAAAATTCAGTAACTCTTGCATATTTTTTCTTAGAACAGCAACAATATTATCACTCTCATCTTTACTCTTTGATGAGGGGACTTTCTTTTTATTTGATACTTTTTAAGGATTGCTGCAAGGAAGAGCTTTGCTTTTTTGGCTTCAACTGAAGTTGCTCTCTAATTATCTGCTGTTTTGACTTCAAAAACATTACTGCAATTCTTTGCAACACGAGGACACAGGACACAGCTTTAATCTGCTGATCTTCACTATTTCCATTAATATTACACCATGCCCCTCTCAATGTTTTATCTGTGCTCAAAATTTCCAGACCATGTTTTAAAATGTCTTTATTGGCATCTTCCTCTAAGCTGGCTTTAACAATCTTTTCCAGAGATTCATGCAAATGATGAAATAAAGGTACCAAGTCCTTGTTAATTACAAATAGAAATTTCCTAGATTGCACTACAACATCTTTGCCCAATGTTTTAATCAAATCCAAAAGGTTTTTTTCCTGACTTCACAAGATGCTTCACTGTTTTTGGACACCTCAATAGTTTGGATGCTAGGTCCATTCTGTATAGTGCCCCTAACATGTTTAATAACCCAACCACTATGTTCCTTTATGGACTCCATTTCAATATTTTCCAATTCAGTGGTCATGGAAGTTGAACTTTCAGTTGAATTATCATTATGACTCAATGCTAAGGATGATTCAGTGGGAAGACCAGACGATTTATTGAGTAATAATTTAAAACAACTATTTATGATTTAAAACAATGCACCCATTGGGCGACATTTCCCAGCCACAAGAGCTCAAAATTTCCTCCATTCTTTTTCAATCGAAGGACTGTGAGATGACACCGACACAAAATTTCTTTCAAGCTCCAGAGCATTTTTGTTTGGACATTTCACATGCTGGACAAGTTGGTAACCAGCAAAGGTATCTTGCTAGTTGCTAATAATGAGTGATATATATAACAAAGTGGCTATATCTACAGGCCCGTAAACAGACTTCGCCAGGCTATATTTACGGCACTCTATGTACCGAACTGGCACTATAAAGGCCTGATTCCACGAGCGCTTTTCGTCTGCGAAATGCGAAATATTTCGCATGTTTCTTTTGAATTGCGACCACTCGAATAAATTATTTCTATTTGATTGCTCACAATTCAAAAGAAACAGGCGAAATATTTCGCATTTTGCTGACAAAAAGCGCTCTTGGAATCAGGACTTTAAGCGTATTGTTTACAAAGGATTTCAGCGAGCTCGAAAATAGCTCAGAAGGTTAGGCAAATGGCTGCTGTGTTGTAGTCCGCGGGTTCGGATCCGAGTTTGTGACGGTTTTTTGTTCGCCTTAACAAAACATGTTTAACTTTTTTTTTCTGACTAGTTTTAATTTTTTTAGGGGTTAGGGTTAGAGGTTAGGGGAAGGATTGGGGTTAGGGTTATTTTTGTTTTAATTTGACTTTAACGATAAATATAGGCCGTATGGAGAATAAGAACGAGAGTGCCGTAAATATAGCCTGGCGAAGTCTGTTTACGGGCCCGTAGATATAGCCACTTCGTATATATAAATATTGAGTATTTATCAGTACAAAGGACAAATATTAACAAAACTAAGATATCCACTAAAATGCTTAGAATGTCCTCTTGAGAGAGCTTGTGTGCAGGCTACCAAGCCACAGAATAAAGATCACCAAGCTGCCAACAAAGCGAACAAAGTTAACAAACAGCTAAATTTTAAAATTTACTAACTTTTATAATAATACCGAAATTAGTCACGAGTAAAATATCTGGTAAAAAAATTGTCGCCACGTGCAAATTCAAATATGGCGGAATTCCCAGACAAAACTCAGGTCAGTACCACTTCTATAGTTCTATTTAGCGAAATTTGTGGTAATGATTAATTGTAATGTCGTGGTAAACATGTATGTGTATGTCGAGGTGTTTATTTAGATTGTAAATTGTATTCACCGTTGATTAATGCAATTATATTTACATAATATCCCACTTTACATATTGTACGGCAGGTGATTGTACGGTTTAATAGTCGGTTTCATATTGCTTTAAACCAGAGAAAATGAAATGAAATGCATGTTATGGTTCATATTATATTTCATTTTTGTAGATTTACAGGGGTGTTTTATAGGTGTGCCAGTAGGGTGCACAAGAGTGCATGAATTTAAATTTACCATACTTTTAACAGTGGTCTGTGGTTAAAGTTTCAACAACTGGATGTCCCAAAAACTACTAATTATTTTATTAGGAATTATTTTGCGGTCCTACTAAATACTGCCCGGAGCGCCCAGAGATGCCCGGGGACGCCCTGAAGCGCCCGAGAGCACGTGAGAACACCCGGGGATGTACAAGATAGTATAAATCAGTGCACGATCCTTTTTGAGTCTCTATGAGGCATTAATTAATGAAGAATAACATTGAAAGTGATTTTAAGCAGCCTAGCAACAAGCGCTAAAAGCGCGGTCGCCCATGCAGGACGTTGTGCGAAACATGAGATTATATTTAAATTTATTATAAACTAATATTTGCTGTTATTAAATTAAACTAAAGTTAAATAAAAATTAAGACTAGTTTTGTTTTAATATATCAACTGCTGAGAACAAGTCAATTGTCGTTTGGCGACTTTCGAAAAATTTTTGTCAATAGGATTACCAAGATCTATGATCAGTTGATATATGTTTAATATATTAAAACAAAACTAGTCTTAATTTTTTATTTAACTTTGTTTAATTTAATAACAGCAAATATTTACATTTATAATAAATATAATCTCATGTTTCACACAACTTCCTGCGTGGGTGACTGCACTTTTACCGCTTGTTGCTAGGCTGGTTGAAAATCACTTTTAATATTATTTTTCATTAATATAATGCCTCATAGAGACTCAAAAAGGATCGTGCACTGATTTATATTATCTTGTATATCCCCGGGCGTTCTCACATGCTCCCGGGCACTTCAGGGCGTCCCCGGGCACTCCGGGCAGTATTTAGTAGGACCATTATTTTGTAATCAAAGGGTTTTTCAGTGAATGAAGCTGTGGCATGATGCTTTGTCACTCTTTGCCAGGGTTCTTGGATGTGCCCTTGCACAAATCCAGAAGCACCTATTTTTGTCTTTGTATTTATTTTTCTTTTAAACATTAGGGTTAAGATTATTAGGGTATGAATTTAAATAAAATATTTCTGTAATTTAATTTATAGCATTTCAGTATCACCTCATTCTGAGAAATTTCGGAACTATTTTTTCCGGTGTTGTCTTCTATCATATAAATTTGCTCTTTGGTATTGAGCACTCTATTCATATGATTCCAATATCAATCATTTTGATAACTTGTATATACCGTAAACCTACGAATATAAGCCGCCCCTCTCAAATATAAGCCACTCCGTGTATAAGCCCACCACATGTACTAACGCTCACCTTATTCCAAATATAAGCTCCCCCCCCCAAATATATGTATAAGCCCCTCCCCATATACCCCCCCTTGTATAAGCCCATCAAAAATTGCTTACAAAAGAATATAAGCCCAGGGCTTATAGTCGGAGGTTTACAGTACATAAGTACATGTTGTACGATTCACTTCATGCGCTGGTTTATATTACAAAATATTTATTAAAAAGCACGAAATAAATATATATTCACAATAATTCTCCCTTGTGTAACACTGTCTTTTACACATGGCACCAGTGTTTCCGCTCTTGAAAAATAGTCACCCAACCATTCAAAATTTCCTTTCTTTTGACAAAAATTAATAATTTTGATAATTTTGAATAGAATTATCTAATTTTAGCTGGTATTTTACGTATTTAACCTAGAGATTCGAGTTTTAAACACATTATATCAAAGTATTTTGAAAAACCAGGTATTTTATGAGTTAAAAACGTCATGGAGATTGTGGGAATAGGGTTGCCAAAGCCTTATTTAAAGGAGATGGCTTTCCCTGATATAGTAGTTGTGATAACATTTTCTCAGCATTGATTATTATTGTAATATTAAAATGTTTGAATTGTGTTATAATTGGTTGGTCTGGTCGTCTGGGGTTCCTTCCCCAGAAAAGTTTCAGATTTTGTGTTCTCCAGGACAGTATTTTTGGCATTTTCTGAAGCAAATTTACTTGGAAATTGTCATATTCTTAGGATTTATTAGAAATAAGGTCATTTTCTTCCCTTATATATTTTCTTACTGACGATGAAAAATTTCTTCCAATTTCCATCCAAAGTCTCCAAATGCTATTTCCTTTCAAATTTCCTTCCAAAGGCCAAAATATCCTAAGCTTTGTGGAAGGAAATTTCCTTCTAATTGAAAACCCTGCATGCATGGCCCGTACTTCCGCCAAACAATCCAAAACGTCCTAGCTTCCACTACACTAAGAGTACTTCCCTCACATTTTTATGAATAGAGTGCTCAATACATAAGCAGAGCAAGATATTGAGCTGTTTAAATGCTGTTAACCTCGATCAATTATTCCATGAAAATGCACACAGTGTATTCCAAAATTCAATGCTTTAGGGGCCATTCACAAAGGATGTCCGAGCCGAGGGGGCTTTGGAAAATCAGGACAAACTCGGACATAGGGGGAGGGGGGTTTTTAGCAATCCGGATATACGAAATTTAAAAAAAATCAAAAACAAATTTCTTTTTCCTCTATTTTGAACTCCCCTTCCCATTGTGAAATTGGCATTTTGAACACTTCATAATATTATCTAATTCTTTCCTTCAATTATGAATTCAACAGTGGCATCAAATAAAAGCTTTCTGCATGTATAACTCTCCTTTTCTATACAACAAGTTCATCCCATTGTTGCAGTAAGTTGTTTGTTTTAATTAATCATTTATATGTTTTTGTATTCACATTTATAGTTATAAAAAAGTTCTAAAAGTAAAAAAAAATTTTTTTACTCTTGACATATACAAGGTTGCGTGAGTTTTTGCAAGGCATGGCGGATGTCCGGGGGGAGGGGGTCACTAATTCGGACAATGCCGGACAAGGGGGGAGGAGGGGGGTCTGAAAATCCATCATTTGGTCGGATATCCTTTGTGAATGGCCCCTTAGTGTACTAGCTCTTTTAGTTTTTAAGTTGTACTAAATCAAACAGGATTTGTGGAATTTATTAATAGGTTATTAGAGAAGCCCATTTTCATATGTGACCAGCGGGTTTGAAATACTGTACTTTTTCAATTGTTATTTCATCATAAGAAGCAATGCTTTTATTTACTTCAATTTTTTAGAACATACATAACTTGATTGTGATTTCTAGTTCAGAGTCAGAACCATCGCCCCCAAAAAAGAATCCATTGAAGTGGTAAGCTGCTAAACTAATGTACTAGCAATTAAAGCAAACTCTTCGTGTACTATTGTTTTATTAGTCGTCTTGGCACAGTGACTATAGGTTCTCCCCACATTTTTCAGCCATGTTTTTCAATGTTCACAAAATGAAATTTTTCATTTAAGGCCGTAATATTGGATTAAAATGCAAGATGGCAGACGCTTTTTTACAACATTTTCGTAAATAAGTCAGTAAACATATCTGTATTTTCGCTTCTAAATTGTACATGCAACCCAAAAATCATACGCAAAAACAATCGTTTGTATAACTCAGCTAGGGATCAAAATAGCAGCCGATAGTTATCCGGTCTAAATGGCATTTCAAATTTCGCGGTTTAAATCTGTTTTTTACCGGTCATGTAAGCATAAGATATAGACCACTTGCGTATGACGTCACACATGAAACAAAGTATTTACATTTCACTGGTACTTACCGAAAATATCGTAGTCAAAAGCTGGATGACTACGAGTTTGACGGGATGGCGTAAGCAAACAACACGGCTTTGGCATGAAAATGACGAATTTTGTAATCGTACTTAAACTCGTTGCCATTGCTAAAACTCTCTATTTTGAGCCCTGTAACTACAATACGGAACCACAAAACGGCAAAAAAATCCTTAGTAGTTTAGTAAAATGTGTTCAAATTTGCATTTGCACCTTTCATTGATCACCCACAAATACAAACATCAGAAGTATTAGTATTTGAATTTCAAAACAGTATTATAATTAAATTTAGCATACAAAGCTTAGGAATACAATTTATATTGTACATTGCAGTATATTAACTCGTTGGTGTCTAATATATTGTTTGTTGTTTTTCTTTTGCCATTGACCCTGTCCTTTTGTTTGCATTTGCATTGAAGGGAATAGCCTTCAATGGTTTAAATCTTATCTTAAAGACAGAAAGCAGGTTTGTTCAGTCAATGGTAAGGTGTCGGCTGCAAAAAATATTAAATGTGGGGTGCCACAGGGTTCTAATCTTGGCTCCATTCTATTTCTATATATAAATGACCTTCCAAATAGTGTAAAAACGTCAAAACCTACACTATTGCCGACAATACAAATCTTACCTGTGAAGGACAAAATTCTAGCGAAATCGAAAATAAGCTAGCTTAATGAAGAACTTAGAAATGTTCATCAGTGGCTTATATAATTATTGTGATTTGATTATTCTAAACTGCGAACTTGATTAATTCATCCCATCAGTAGAATAACTTTTGTTATACGGCACACCAACTAAGTTGAATCAATATACCTTCTCAGATGAATTCAATATATTACGGGTAATTTGACGGACTAAAGCATGTGTTAATATTGTTTTGAAATTCTAATACTAATACTTCTGATGTATGTATTTGTGTGTGATCAATGACACGTGCAAATGCAAATTTAAAAAAAAAATTGTTTTATTAATTTTTAATATTTGTCCAAGAGCTAAAGAAAGGTTATCTCGGTATGTAAACAGCTGGGGAAAGGCTGTATTAGATGTGCCTGGAGATGGTCACTGCATTATTTACTCATTATTTGTGGTCTTGACAGAACAACATATTGATGTCCAAATTGATAGTAAATCCCAGTTACTGAACATTATAGAAGTCGAAATAATGAACAACCTAGATTTTTATGGGCCATTCCTGGGTAACATTGACATGGTGAAGCAGTGGCGTTTATACAAGGAGAAAGGTTTATATGACCAGGATATTGTTGATCTGTGTCTCCATGCTGTAGCCAATTGTACAGGAATCACAGTTGATGTTATACAAGCAACAGATCATGGTATTAGGAATGTTGTTGTCGAACCAAACAAGCCTGGCATCTCGTCACATCGTACAATCCATCTCACCAATTCACATGATCATTACAATCCTGTGGTCAGTGCTCAAACAAAGAATTATGAATGTAATCCAACATTAAGACAACAACTTGTTATCAAACATCCAAAGAATGAAAAGAAGCATGATGAAAAAGAAGATCGTTATGATTATATAAATCCCAATTTATACATCGACTCCTCTTCGCCTTTATCCTTAAACAACAGATATGCTGCTCTGGGTGACAGTTCTGATGACTGCTTCATTGTTGAACCTCATAATAAGAAGTGTCCGCATCTTTCTGGTAATTTTGCTGCAAAATCCTCGACATTTGATGAACAGTTTGATTTAAAGGACGAACAGATTAATGCAATTGATCAAAAGAGAATGCAATTGATCAAAAGAGTGATGCAAGTGATAAACAGAGTGATGCGAGTGATAAACGGAGTACTTCAAGTGATGACGAGAGTCATTCAAGTGATGAAGAGAGTCATTCAAGTGATGAAGAGAGTCATTCAAGTGATGAACTCAGCGATAGAGTCATTCAAGTGATGAACTCAGCGATCCACTTAGAGTAATTGGTAACCGAACATATCTTAATGAAAGTATTTGGGAAGGGGTGGAACACCAGAATGTTGAAAAGTTGCCGTTAAATATAGATGGTACACTAATTTTCAAGATTAAAGTACGTGGTGACTCAAATGCAATGGAAGCAGCGAAAGATGGCAGGCAGTGGCAACGGTATGTTCCTTCTTCTCAAAAAGGTTTTACTGGTACAAGAAGAATAGCAAATTGTTCTGGTACGCATCAGTGCCCCAGTAAACATTGTTCGTTTTTGAAAGAATTTAGTCAACCAAATACAACACAATTCATAGGAAGCGGACAGAAACGCAACTGTATGCACTGTAACACAAGATTGGTGTATGTTCCCTGTTCGGCCAGAAAAATTTGGGAAATTCCAAAAGCTGGCAATACAGTAACTGTCTACCATTATGGCATTCATACTTGCCCAGTAAAACCCCCGAAAAAGAATGTAAAACATCTTAAAAAAATGAAAGATAAATTTGCTGAAACGCCAAAAGTAACCCCCACACAAATGTCTTTTCAGTCCGTTATTGCTTCTATCGAGGGAGATGGTACGTGGGATGAAATTGAAGATGTGGCCGAGCAATTCTCTGATGTTCATACAATTAAGAATGCAAAGAAATTAGCTGCCAAACAAAAACGTCCACATGGGCACAGCTTTGAAGCCATATCTGTCCTAAAAAGGAAAACAGACATGAAAGATCCATTTCTTATTTACAAAGCCAATGACAGAACCATCAATGAGCGACCTAGCTACATCTTTAAATCCAGTAAATTACGGGCGAACATGGCGATAAATATGGATTGTACTGGTGATCACGTGCTTTCTACAGAGTACTGTCATTTTGACGGCAAGCACAATCGTTGCAAAAATTTTGTTACCTTAACTGCAAGTGTATATCATCCTGTTCTTCATCGAATGGTCAAACTCGCTATAATGGAATGTAATTTGGAAAATGAAGAAAATCTCGTTCTGTTTTGGAATTTGTTTAACGAAGTATTACGCAAGGAAAGTGGGAATGAGGATGCATTTTTTGATCCATCTGGTTTTATCTGCGATGAAGCAGGAGCAAACTGGGCTTCCTTGAAGTCGGTTTTTGGCGAAGACGTCCTGCAGCGCACCAAAGGTTGTGAGTTACACTATCTCCAATCACTTCATAGACACGCAAACACACTTAATAGTAGAAAGTCGAAACATCAGTTCAAGAAACTTGGCAATAATTTGAGGGAGGTGGCCACTCCTGCAGGTTTTCAAGCTGCTCATGAAGCGATTAAAAGTTTTATAAATGCAAAACATGAGAAACGTAAACACCTTTGTCATTGGCTCCAGTGGTTGGTAGAACGAAAGACACACTTTTCCAAAGCATATCGCCCCCTTCATAATGCGCCAACGACTAATCTTTCAGAGCCTGTGAATTCTAGTTTTCAAAAAAGGGGCAATTCAAACATCAGTCTTATTGATGCAGCATTGGAAGATGTTGCAGAAAGTGTATTATTTGAGAAAATGTGGCTTCGTCAGAGTAGAGGTGAGAAGGTTTATGGGACAGGACCCACCCAACCACAACTTCAACAAAGAGAAAACAGTAATCAGGTCAGAAGAGCAGAACAAATAGTGAAAGAAATGGACATATATGGCAATCCAGATGCAGTTGTTACTTGAGAAGAAGCCACAAGAACCGCAATTGATCCCCAGTGCAGCCATAGACCAACGAAAGCCAAAAAAAGAAGGCAAAATACCTCCTCAGCTACCAAGAAAACTACAGCAAAGAAGCGCCATGTTAGTATGTTTGACAACACTGATGAATACTCATCATCATCGTCGGATAACTCCTTGCCGAAAGATTCAAGACCAAGGGTGTTCAGGAAAAAGAAAAGTTCCCTATTTCGAAAGTCCTTAGAAAAAGCAAAAACAAGCAAACACGAAATAGCTGTTTCTAGAATTTCGAGCACCAGTGAAAACGAAAGACGATATACCATTTCAAGCTCTGGAAAAGAATATAATGTCAGCATTTGTCAAGTTCGTTCATGCACCTGTCCTTTTAAATCGAATAAACCGAATGAACTTTGTAAGCATCTGATTTGGGTGTATCTGTTTGTTCTTGGAATAAAGGAGGAGAGCAACTTGATACAGCAAGTAGGTCTCACGAAGTCAGAATTAAACACGATTTTTAGAGATGCTCCGGTTAGCATCCCGAAAGACGTTTTGCTACCAGAGGGGGCAGAAAACACCAACAAAAATACTCAAGAATGGTTTATTACGCGAAAGGACCATCCAAAAACTGCGCATTGTTCCGGACTATTATGCTCCAAACCAATTGAAAAAGGGGATCTGCATTTAGCAGTGAAAGGGTTGTTTTGCCCACCAAACAAGGGAGTGGCAGTTCCTACAACTTTTAAATACTGCATCAGCAAGGAATGTGTAAAACACAAGAGATCAAGGTCTAATATTTTGCCCTTGGAAAACAATGTTGTCTTCCTAGATCCTAGAGCGAGACCTACTGATAATGAAATGGAACTTATAGCTGTTAGAGGGTTCAAAATCAAACTAAAAATTAGTGTGGGAGAGGGAATGTAGCCAATTCATACAATTATATAGTTTGATTATGAAAGAAACAATAGGGTTATTTATAAGATGTGTCTGATATAAGCGTCTTATATAAGATACATCTTATATAAGCGAGTTATCGTATAAATGGTTCTCTATACGGCTCTAGTCTTATTTACTTGCTATAGCTATGTTGTTTTGGTTGTTTTTGTTTTAATATGCAAGGCTAATAATTTTATGTTGTTTCAAGTTATCCAAAATGTCTTATTTAAGACGCAACTTAAATAAGAATTTTATACCTTTTATACGACAAACTCGCGTCTTATTTCAGTCGCGTCTTATGTAAGTCGCAACTTATTTTGTCCCGTGTAAATGGCCCTATTATGCGTATTGCAAATTATGTTGATATTTTTAATTATTCATGTTGATATTGCTTTGGTTAATTAGTTATTCCAGAACACTCATGCATGTTACTAGCTAAGACCCTGTTTACACGGTACACTACCGAGCCAATATTTGGGGCACTTCCTCGGGTAGAAGAATTTGCATCACAGATTACGTCATCAGTAGTTATAGTGATTAGTGTTGAGGTTAGGGTAAGCGTTAGATTAAGGATTAGGCTTAGAGATAGGGATTGGGTTATATCTGACGCCACAAGCAACACAACTAGCCGATCTCGTGATCAGTTCTCCTCTACCCGAGGAACTAGCCCGAATTTGGGACCGGTTTGAAATTCGTCCATTTCAGCCGTGTAAACACACGAGAACCACGGAACCGGACAAATTTGAGACCCCCTATCAGGACGAATTTGAGTGTAAACAGGTGAAAAAGGACGAATTTCGTCCGGTACCGTGTAAACAGAGTCTAAGCGTATATTAAGGAGTGTCTTTTGTAGTTGTATGTATACCAATCATCAAGCAATGAATTCATATTAAACAAACGTACGATTTTTCGTGTTTATTAGTCCTTTCTGTCAGAACATCTATTGAGCCACAAAGTTAACAGAATTTTTTCTGTTCCTATTGTGCTTCTTTTACGCCACAACAATTATTGTGTATTTTCATTTTGTTAAACTAGCAACTCGCAACTAGCAACTAGCATGTCAACCTAACTCGTTGGTAACATTTATAAAAAGCGTTGGATATTTCCTTCAAAGAATTACAAACAGTGACACAGTTTCAGTGGAATTCTTCTCCTTTTTGTATCTGCGCTAGCGCAGATACATTGCCATCGTGCAGACCATGTGTTAGCCCGGAGCCAATCAGCGATCAGCATCATGTGTGTCATTTTGATCTCTATTTTTTGCAAAACCGTAAAAAAATGTAACTGGATGGATATATTGATCATATTCAATAAATTCAAAATGGCTGCTTTTGATGGAGTGAATATACATAAATTAAAGGGCTGGAACGTATGGCATGCCGATACAGACAAAAATACTTCTTTGTAATATGTTACTTGTTTTGAAATTACAAACATGTTGGTCTGATATAAATATATGACTTGTGGAGAAATGCAGAGTTTCTTTGCGAGATATACAACTTCTGTTACAAAAACATACCAAGTTCTATTTCCAAAATATACTAGGACATATACAACTTCTGTTACAAAAACATACCAAGTTCTATTTCCAAAATATACTAGGACGTCTATTTAAAAAATATAGTACTTCTTTTTGAAAATTATAATACTTCTGTTTCAAAAATATAGTACTTCTTTTTGAGAATTATAATACTTCTGTTTCAAAAATATAGTACTTCTTTTTGAGAATTATAATACTTCTGTTTCAAAAATATAGTACTTTAATGATGCCCGCGAACGGTCAGCGGACTATTTTGAGATCAAATGGAACTACTTCATGTCAAATATAAACAGTGCTTCCATTTTTAGAAAACATAACTTCCTTCCAACCATTCAAAATTTTCTTATTTTTGAATAAATTTCCTTCCAATAAAAATTATTGAATTTTACCTAATTTAAAGCTGATTTGATGGTAATTTATATCGAATAACCGGGTATTTCGAGTTTACCTAGATTAACACGACGGAAAATAAGCAGGGAAGGTCTGGGGGTCCTCCTCCCAGAATATTTACAGATTTTGCATCTCGCAAACAGAATTTTCAGCATATTTTGATGCGCATTTCGTTGGAAATTGCCGTATTCTTACGATTTTTTAGAAATCATGCATTTTCTTTCTCATTTCATACAGTCGTCCGAAATTTCCTTATAATTTCCTTCAAATAGAATTCAACTCAACTAGAATCAACTAGTTAAAATTTCCTTCAAAAAAGAAATTTCCTTTAAAATGGAAGCACTGAATATAAAAACTTCAACATCACAACATGGTGAAAGCAATGTTGGACAAGTTGATAGAGGCAGTGAAATCCCTCAAAGATGGAAGTGACTCTCAGAGTGAAACAAATACCAATGTAAACCAAACAAGTACAGAAGATGCGATAGACTGTCTCTTTCCTAGCATTGGGACATCTCGTGGTTCAATTGCTTCATCTCGTCAAAAGGACGGAAATGCTTTAAGTCTATTCAATTCAAATGTCAATTACGCGCCAAAACGACGCAAACGTAATGGTCCTTCTACTAGTTCGAGCACAAGTAGTTGTACTGCAGCCAAAAAGAAAACACCAGAAAGTAACTGTAAATCATTACTTAAAGACATTATTCTCCTTCCAAGTCCACAAATAGAAAGTGTTCCTCGAGGACGTTTTTGAGAATACCTTTATGAGAACGGATTTGCTGAGTCAGCAGTAGGAATAAGTGATCAAATGTCTGAGGAAGATATAAAAGTCAAAGTTGCTAACGTTTTTAAGGAAAAGCTGGAGCTCAGCCCAATTACAATTTTGTCAGGGCAATTGGCAACAAGATTGTTAGAGTAAACAATGGACCTTATACAGGAAAACTTTTGAAGCACATTTCAAACCAGGGACCTGTATACATCAGGTCAGTTATTGATGTGTCAGGGGAAGACCTTAAAGGATGGCTTGGTGATAAATTTGAAGATGAGTCAAATGATGACGAGAGTATCATGAATCCTGTTTTTGCAATGAACGATAAAAGAAAAGTTGCTGCAAGTACTACACTGCAGCCGCAGGTGCCTGTGGAAGTAAGATGACGATGCTGAGCTTTCCCGTCTTTCAAAAGTTTCAAAAAGCACAATGCCATCAAGGTAAATTGCAAGCTTTGAACACATTCTGTTTAATTAATATGCCATATGACACCCTGTTGTGGATGAACTCTGAAATCCATCCTAGACCATTTTGACACTTTCCTGACAATATATACCATTATTACGGTTGCCATTGAGTAATTTTAAAAAGAACAAAACAATAGACACTCCGAAAATAGTTAACATTTTATTCAATGTTTCAACTAGGTTTAAGTCATCATCAGGAATGATGCTATTGAGAAATACTGAGATATATATTTACAAGTTAAGCAGATCAAATTACACGCTAATTAAATATTACAAGTTCCTTAGAAGCTTTAGTTAGGAGTCTCTACATATACATCGCCAAAAACTAGAACTAAATCACAGAACTAAAGCCTCTAAGGAACTTGTGATATTTAATTGACGCATAATTTGATCCACTTAACTTGTAAATATATATCTCAGTATTTCTCAATAGCATCATTCCTGATGATGACTTAAACCTAGTTGAAACGTTGAATAAAATGTTAACTATTTTCGGAATGTCTATTGTTTCGTTCTTTTTAAAATAACCATAATACCATGTCCCCCAAAAGAATTCAAATCTTTTACCATGCCTAACTAGAAAACTATATTTGCATGAAAGTATATAAACATATGAACTTTAATGTCCATTCAAATTAAGGGATGTCTTCTTCATGCACTTAATATTGTAAATAAAATTTTCAGGAGATAAGTATCAACTTGGCGTAGGCGTGACGGGTGTTATATGACTGTTCATACGATTTGTATTTTCTGCAGGAGTGATTGTTCATACGATTTGTATGTGGACTTATTAGACAATTTGGATGCACATGAAGATGATGACATTCAGCGTGCTATTCAGGAATCCCTGAATGATGAACAAATTGTGTAAGCAGGCATATACTATACAGCTATTTAAATAAAGGTTGTCACAAGGGTCAAATGAACATTTTATTTTATGGGCTGAAATGTATTATAATTGAGGTTAACCTTAATCATCATATTACATGTATTTGTAATTTTGTATATTTACAAGTAAACAGCTAAAAATAGTGTAATTTATTATACCCATTTTGCTGTTCGCTTTTGAAATGTACAATTGACTATGACAACATTGATTGAAATAGCTTTATATTATGGTGGATTTAGGGAATGTTGGAAAATATACATTTACTGTAGTAAATAAAAATACATTGCCAAATATATTAGGCACTTGAATGTAGTAATGTTGTATCTCTGTGTGAGCCGAGATGCAAACCTTGTGTCATGAATGTGAACATGTAAAAATTTGGCAGACAAACATTGGCATTTGTGGTTCCTTTTAGGTTAATTATAATGATTACATATGATTGAGGTACTACTGTATATTAAAGTTTTCATATAAAAACCACAGACAGATGCAGATGTGAGAGATTATATATTGTGGTCACTAGATTGCACGTAAATGTACAGTATTGATGTTGACAGAACATTTCCCATTTTTAAAGAAAATCAGGGTTTTTCAGGGAGGGGGTCTGTTTTCCATTGGTTCATTCACCATGTTCCGTTCCCTAATATATTTTTGTGCTTGTTCTATAGAAACCCCCAAGGGACCCCCTAAATGTTTTAGAAGCACGCCCTGTAGTATATTTGCAGGACAATATATGTATTATAATACTGTATGATATATAATAATCATGTATAATAAGTATAATTATGTAGTTATGGGACAATTTAAAATACAGGGTTTCTTCAGGACTTTTTTGTGGCAGTTAAACGTACCCCAAAACTCCATCTTTGATTCAGTTATTCGGTTTCGAAATTCAATCATATTGTCAACATTGCACAGTAAGTGCATTAAAATTGAATTTGTTCGGGCCAATTTTGCAATGTGAAAATAATTGTATTCCTGTGGGCAATTAAGTAAAGTAAGAAAATACAAACACACAGCCTATAAATCATTTCACAGAACAGTAAAAAAACCATGAACACACATGTTATGTACCGTCTTAAACTCATCTCAGTCCAGTCATTTAAATCATAGGCATGTGAAGGAAAAATTTGTGGCAGGCAGGTAACAGGTGTCCCTGGACTCCCTCTTGTATACAATATACCAGTAAATTCAATCTTTTGCACGAAAGCAACCCAGCAAAAAATCCTGAAAAACCCCTGATTATATAATTATTTAATTAAAATCATTGTGTAATTGCTAATAATTATGTACTAACTATTATTTCAATGAAATTATCAGGGATCCGAAAGCACCTTTAACAGATCTTCAGGAACTACTAAAAGAGCACAAACTATCATGTACGAGGTCTGGTGACCCAAATGAAATTATTGTTCGAAGGACAAAACTCTTGGAAAGTGCTTATCGTGCTGTTAAATCAAAGATGTTTGACTGTTGCAAAGAACTTGTTGTGCAATTTAGTGGAGAAGATGCGATTGATGCTGGAGGGCCTCAAAGAGAGTTTTTAGGTATTTTATATGGAGTATAGTTCATGTTATAGGAGCTACTCTACTGTAAATTAGAGTACTGTAATTCACAGTGACATGTGATAATTTGGATTTGTTGTACTTGGCTTAACCCTTTAAGTGGCAATGTACCCTGATGCGCCCTAGTTTATTATTTTACTCTGTCTAATGTCAGATGATTTTACTCATCAAGTGGAGAGTGCTGCCATTCAATGTTTTAAACAATTAAGCACAATGCAGCATACTTTATTCTTTTTCCCTGTCAAATGCCAGAGGATTTTACTTGAATGTGCAGTAAATGGGAGAGACCACTAGTCAATATTTTTCTCTTCTCAGATTGATAAGGCAAGAGTTGGGTCATGTATCTGGTCTTTTAGAAGGTAGTGAAGGGAAGATGACGTTTACTCATAATCTTAAATTACTTGAGAATAAATACTGGTTAGCTGGACGACTGGTTGGAATGTCATTAATTCATGATGGTCCTGGCCTTGAATGTATACACCCAATTGTATATCAACTCATGTGTGGATTACCCTGTGATGTGTATGACTTTGACGTTACACTTATAACGGATCACGACTTTGTGGAAACAGTGCAACGGGTACAGTAATTTCGCTAATACATCGCATAATATTTTACATAAATGTCACTGCCTTTCTCTTATTGGTTTTCTGAGTTGTTGTAAACATTAATTGAACTAAATGCCTTTGGCCAAATAAAAATAATAGTTGGCTTCATAGACAAATGAGTCTGACCATTTATATATTCTGCTATTTACGAAAAGATGATCTCTACTTACCCTGGGTGCCAGAGGTTCCTCCACGCTCGTAGGGGGATAATGAGGGATACACGAGGATTCAAGCTGCGAGGTGGCGAGCGGGAAGAACCTCTGGAACACTTCTATGGTTTCTCAGATCAAACCGCACCAATCACGATGCTTAATAGTGTGAAGTGATCCAGAATCTGGATCACAGCGTTGATTGGTTTACAGCAGGCATTTTTTAAAACAAGGACTTTCATTGGATGCTTAAGTTGTACGTCCCCTTAAACAACATCGCTCAGAATTTGTAGTATATTTTGTACAAAAACAATAGCTTATATTTCTTCATTTACATACAATTTACATAAATTTAAATATGTCTTTAATTACCCGAGACGATTTGGAATACGCGGTCGATATGGTTTTGAAATCTTTTACTGGTGTAGAAAAACTAAACGAACATCAAAATGATGCCCTGTTTGAGTTGCTTCATCGTCGTGATGTCTTTGCTATATTGCCAACGGTCTTTGGAAAGTCTGTTATCTTTCAACTACTGCTGTCATTGTGCAGAGAGCTTAATTTCATGGGGTATAATAGTTTCCCAGAGATTGCGATAGTGTTGGTAATATGTCCACTTGTCGCACTGATTGAGTCGCACATGAACAAATTAAGTAAGCGAGGAATTTTGTGTGCTTGTGTGTCTGGCGAACAAGCGTGTCAAGACAAGGTGGTGTACTATCCGGCAAATATTCATTTGTTTTTGCCAATCCAGAGAGTATTATCATGAACGAGAAATGCTGCAAAGTTCGATCTACCACAAACATCTATTTGCAGTAGTTACTGACAAGGCACATGTCATTCCAAAATGGTAAGATCTATTGATAGTTAAATATTGCTATAAATCAGTGAAATCAAGGGATGGCAAATATGTTTATTATCAATTTTATTATTGTCTTTTATTATTAAAGTAAGATTGGAAATGAGGCTAAATTCAAAATGACTTTAATTTTCTTAAATAATAAAAATAGTATTGTTATTATTATTTATATTTCCCTATTTACTTAATAAAATAATAAAAATTACACTATATATACAATCACATATATGACAACATATATGGACATCATATAAATTCAGGGATGCCGGAACGATGTCAAGGCAAGGGGGGCAGATTTTCGCGAAAGGGCACTTTTGAATTGATATATACTAAGAGATGTTTGCAAAACATCGGGAGTTGAACTTTTCCTGGTCATGTTTTCTATTTATTGGATGATAGGGGTGTGAGGGGGTTCTCCACCAGGTTATTGGGCTATTCTTGAAGCTCGATGACTGCATTTCTTGCGTTTTCTGAAGCAAATTCGTAAAAGAATTGCACTAACATTTCTGACAATCACTATTTCACCAAGGCAATCCTTTAAATTGAAAGGGCACCTTTGCCCCCCCCTTGCCCCTCCTGGTAAAGGGCAACAGGGGCGGCTGACCCTCCTGCCCCCCCCCCAGTTCCGGCATCCCTGTATAAATTCATGTTATTACTGGTGAAGTTGTATATATATGAATTTTAAAGGTTATCCGAAAATTGTCTATTATCGTCTTAGCTACCCAAGATGAAATCTCAGCCCTGCCCCAGGTTGAACTTGAGCCCATGGCTGAAAAGTTGTCATGTGATCATTTTATCCCATAGATGCAAAAGTTATTTGATTGAGGAATTTTTACATTTTGTTCACATATTTCAATTCCCTTTGTTTTTTTCCATATGTTACCTGATACTCTAGCACATGCATTAACCCTGGTGCTGAATTCAACCCCCGGGTTGAAAATGCATTTTGTAATTGACCCTTTAAACTAGTCACAATTATTGGTAATTCCCATTGTCAGTGGTCATTGGTGTATAAAATGCTTTGTCTGTCATAAAAGAATACAATGGATTGCTAATGAATTGCTACTATTTGTTAATTAACCTGGCTTCAACATCAGGATTTCAGCTTGCATGTTTGCAAACATTATTTCAAGGATGGGTGTATGTTCACACCTGACATTCTACATGTTCCAAAAATATTGTATTCCTGATCCACTATAGATTAAAGATAAGTGGGAACATTGCCAGCTAATATGTTAATGCTATCAGTCAAAATCAGACTGACCCTATGGAATTTGATCAATATTGTCAAAATGTTGCTATTATGACCCATATGGTGTGGATTAGAACCATTTGAGCAAGCCCTTTCTTTGGTGTGCCAATGTTCTCCACTTTTGAAAGTGGATATAAATTAATATTTTATGATGGGTATTATTCAAAATACAACATTGATGAACATGCAGGACAACCTCGTACCCAGGGCCTTTGCGCGGTTCAGAGGCTCTGGTACGGGAAGCAAAGGCCCTGGTAAACACTGGTCACGTGTGTCCAAAAATATTGGACATTTTTGTAACCTGGCCTTATTTAGGTCATGTTATCCCGGGGGGGATGAGCAACTGAACAATTGCAATGCACGAACTATAAAAGTTTCAAATACAAATGATTTTGCCTTTGATTTTTAAAATATGAATGTATAACAATTGTTTGAAAATTAATATTTTAAAACAACAGACAGCAGATTTTAGGCTTGTTTTCATTTTGATGGAAATTATAAACTTTGAAGTCACATGGATTTTGAATTACAGTGTGCTATATTAAAGAATGCAGTATATTCGAGGTAAACGATTTTATGAATATGATGCATATATAAAATTATATTCTCATATCTTTTAATATTTATCAGTTTATATATCCTAAATTCCAGCAGATTCGTGGCTGTCTGTTTGTATAATTAGTTTTCTTCATTTAATTACTCCTCCATCTTTCGCTTTTGGATATAAACCCTCCTTCATGCCTGATATATTTTTTGGTTATCTCCATCCTTCACTTAGTTCACTAAATTCAAAATTTTCTGTTCCAGCTTGTTCGGAAAATATTCAATCTTTCATAACTGGAGTTCTCTTTGACATGTAAAATAGTTAGGCAGTACCCTCAGTAAGATACTTATATAACTGGCTGACCATTACAGTAGTCAAAGTTAATAAATGAATACATGCAAAATTACAAATTAACTGCCCTCATACCAGTCCATTGGTCTCTGTCTCTCTGACTCATCCAATAAATACTTAACAGAATAGTACGATAATAATAGAAAAGTGTGAAAATGCCAACGTTACCTAACTTTGTGTGACAAGAAAGTTAGATTACATTAATTTTAAAGTCAGGTATTCTTTTCTTTATCGCCTCAATACTCTGGCTGATGATTCCAATGGCCCCCATAAAATTCCAATGGCCCCCATAAATTTCCAATGGCCCCCATAAATTTTACTGGAGAAAATGTTTCCCCCACTTCTTGCCATTACAGTAAATCTCCATTAGCCCCCAATTTTACCCAAACAAACAAGAGAGAGTGGTCACACGACAGTAATGGGAATATGGGATAATCAAATATATGGCATACTTTGTTATTTTTCTCTGTCCAACACCAGACAATTTTACTTGTCAAGTGTAAGATTATTATTATAAGTGAGTAATAAAAAGTGGCTGGATATTCTAACTTTTGCTCCATATAATTGGACTTTGGTTGTGAGCAAAATGTAAAAAGACAATTACCAGTAATACTGGCCTTACTACATCCCTATTATTTACCTTGCAACCTTGAGCAGTTGTGCTGTTACAGCAGAATGTGGTTTCAAATGACAGTTATTTTATGGCAATTATGATATTCCAGTGTGCCAGTAAGACATTTGTCGTTTGTTTCTCTTTTAGTATTATATCGAAAAGGTGATTGTAGGGTATTCAGATCCTGGAGAGATGTGAAATGGACTGACCTTGGGCAATTAAGTAATATACGAGTGGTGTAAAATAGGAAATTTTTTATTCATTCTGATTGACTAATAAAATTAGAATGGTGAGAATAATGATGATGATGGTAGTGAAATACAAGTTGTGATGATATTGGTGATGCACAAGTTGTAATGATACTGCTGATAATGAAAATATATTGTATTTGTAATGCGACATAAATAATAAAGAGATTGGCAGTAATGAATGTGCATGACTTAATTGATCAATTGTGCTGGTGAGAAGGCAATATATTGCCACCTAGATGAATTAAGTCCCATGCCATTTTGTGTTCAAAACTAACTGTTTTCATCAGCTCCAAGCATAACTGGGAAAGCTGGTTTCAATCCTGTTAGCTGATCTTGAAACTATGTGCACACATGTAAATATTTATTTTTTCCCCTCATGAATTATATTGTTTGCCCAAAAAATCGGTTGATTATTTCATCTAGAAACAGTGTGAATGTTGTTTGAATTTGGTATGCTCACTCTGTGACAAGTGAAGGTGATATGTTGTAATTCATGCATAATATGGTGATTTTTGGTTTCAGGATGTAAAAAATGAAATTTACTTACTGATAAAATTCAGTGTAACCATATTCATTAAGCCTCTGTGTCTCTCTAAGCCCATGTGTCTCTCTAAGCCCTACCTCCTCAATACAAATAAAACTCTGCATAGCCGGATAGGACTAAATAGGTTTTTAATTTTACTGACAAAAGTATGATGCATCAAAACACCCAATTTTTTAGACCAGCTGTGAATAATACTTCTGAATCAATTAAACCCAAAAGAATTTTTATGGTAAAGAAGTAATTATAGTATTCTCAGTAAGTGGAATAATTGACCATCATTATGGAAATTATGTAGGCTGAAGTATTTAAAATGTGTTTAAGAATGTATAATTGTTGGTTTTTAACCAAAGCCAAAGATATTTGAAAACAAAGTATGATATGTCAGTCAGAGTCTATTATTTGTAAAAAGTGTCGGTAGTCACAATGGTGACAGTAACATTTGTGTGGTTAATCTGGTTGAAGCAGAGAATTTAATTGATCTCCTGATAAAAGGCATGTTTTCTTGGGGTTGTACCAAAGGTCTTTCATGAATTCTAAGGCAGCCCAGTTGCCAATTGTATTGAACCAAAGCTATTAGACAGGGTACAATTACAGCTTTTCAAGATATTATTACAGTATATACTATAAGATACAACTGACAAATGAAGTATTTCAGAAAAATATTTACCCTAAAATTATTGGTGACTTATGCCATGACTAATATTATGTTACAGCTTTGGTTCAAATTTCATAAATCATGAACCGATGTACAGTAACTGGAAATGTAAACAAATAGGTGAACGCACACCCAGTATACAAACAGAAATATAGATGATACATCCCAAAAAATAAATATGAAATTAACTCACACACACAAAGGTTTCAAGATACTATGTATAATTCCATTCACAACTGTATTTTAAACTACATACATACGGAAACCAACCTGTCACTCGACCAGTTAATTGTTTCAAAATATTCTGCTTTGATAACTACATGTTTAATACACATGAAGAATTTCGTTTCCATAGATAAGAGTCCCCTCTGATTTATCCTTCCATAAAAGTACAATAAAATCCCAAGTGATATTCTTTGGTCAATACATAAAAATTACTTATAATCAACAATGTTTATTTAATTCTTTATAAAACGTCGCACACAAGCAGCTGCATTGGATACAAAATAGACAGTTTAAAGACAGATCACTCGACTAGTTTTCAGCAATTTCAGGTCTAGTTTTTGCTCAGTTTGATCTTCGTCCTTCGATCTTTGATAAGTATTACCGTTAGCTATTCCACAATTTGTTGAAAGAAAGCTCATAGAATGCATAGATAATATATACCCACTCTTAAATCTCACTAGGAAAGTTTTATTTATCATAATAATATAAAAACTCGAAAACGTCGCGCCTTCGTACTGCCATGTTTGATAAAATCAATCGGCTCCGCTCCCCCCGGATTGAAAACTAAATTATTACGAAATGTCCAATATTTTTGGAGTCACATGACCAGTGTTTACCAGGGCCTTTGCTTCCCGTACCAGAGCCTCTGAACCGCGCAAAGGCCCTGGGTACGAGGTTGCATGCAGGATGCCTCAATTAAGTTTGAATGAATGAATTTAAAGGTCAATAAAAAATAAGCAAATTGAATTTTCTATGTATATGTATAGTATTGACTTTGCTTTTATTCTTCAGGGGATTTGGTAACTCTAAGGAAAAGGTGATAGCTTTTCGTGAATGCTTTGGTCGTCTTGGAGAGTTATTAAAGATCACTAATTCCTGATTGCACACCAATACTTGCACTTACTGCAAGGGCTGCGCAGAAATAGTCTAGGACCTGTATAGATGTTTGTCTGCGTTTCGTTTAGCACAGGTAATCTCAACTGTTTTAGGGTAAAATGACCATGGCGGTCAACATGGCATATGTGCCAAAACCTGAATCCGGGGCGAAAGTCCTGAAAATGACCCTGCCCTGAAACGGCAGTGCCGACATAGCTCTAACTTCCGAAAAGCAAAAGCAACAGCCTTTCTGAAGTGCTTATAGTGTTTAGGAGAGTTGCTTTTACTGGTGGTCATTGGAAGAAAAAATTTGTCTAAGTATAATATTTTACCAGAAAATGACTATGCACCACCCGAGGTAAATTGCTGATTATGCACAAAATAACTAATATGCCTGGCAGAAATTTAATGTTCTTATTTCCTAAAGAAAATTATCATGGGATGAAAAACTATGCTTAATTTAATATAATTATTGTAGTTTTCATAAGGATTGTCATTGTTTTCTTTAAATATAATACATTTGAATTCACTCACCCCCCATGAAAACACCATTTCGGCCATACTTTGCCGTCTTGTTTGCTTTTTATCGCCGAGTCTCGCTGATATCATCCAGTTGTTGTACTTTTACATAATGATAGATGGCTAAAGACAATTTCAACAAAGTTTAATGAAGTTTTGAAACAGTGCAGTATATTTTATCTTCGATATTGTGTCCTTCGATATTTCGTAAAATTGCCGCCATTTTAATGGCTCGCCGCTTCTCTGCCCGATAAATGCCACTTCTTCGTCTTCCTATGTGTTTAGACTACAGTATCCAAGAGTACTTCATTGTGGAATAGTCCCAATCGAAAAAATGAAAACATTTGTTGGGTTTTGATGGCAAAACCCTGCAGGTGATTATTTAGGTTCAAAATAAAATACAAAGTATTTGAAAGTCACGCGCAATCTTCACGAAAACTTCTCGTGGACACATGACGGGGGGGGGGTGAATATTTTCATGAAACGTTTGTTCGCCACCACATTGACCACAGAAACCTAAAATATATTGTATTTATTGTATTTTTATGAATTATGATAAAACTACCCTTGTTTTTATCATAATTCATAAAAATACAATAAATACAATATATTTTAGGTTTCTGTGGTGGCGAACAAACGTTTCGTGAAAATATTCACACCCCCCCTGGAATGTGTCCACGAGAAGTTTTCACGAAGATTGCGCGTGACTTTCACATGCTTTGTATTTTATTTTGAACCTAAATGATTACCTGGAGGGTTTTGCCATCAAAACCCAACAAATGTTTTCATTTTTTCGATTGGGACTATTCTACAACGAAGTACTCTTGGATACTGTAGTCTAAACACAGAGGAAGACGAAGAAGTGGCATTTATCGGGCAGAGAAGCGGCGAGCCATTAAAATGGCGGCAATTTTACGAAATATCGAAGGACACAATATCGAAGATAAAATATACTGCACTGTTTCAAAACTTCATTAAACTTCGTCAAAATCGTCTTTAGCCATCTATCATTATGTAAAAGTACAATAACTGGATGATATCAGCGAGACTCGGCGATAAAAAGCAAACAAGACGGCAAAGTATGGCTGAAATGGTGTTTTCGTGGGGGATGAGTGAATTTAAATGTATTATATTTAAAGAAAACAATGACAATCCTTATGAAAACTACAATAATTATATTAAATTAAGCATAGTTTTTCATCCCATGATAATTTTCTTTAGGAAATAAGAACATTAAATTTCTGCCAGGCATATTAGTTATTTTGTGCATAATCAGCAATTTACCTGGGGTGGTGCATAGTCATTTTCTGGTAAAATATTATACTTAGACAAATTTTTCCTTCCAATGACCACCCCTAAAAGCAACCCTTCTAAACACTATAAGCACTTCATAAAGGCTGTCCTTTTGCTTTTCGGAAGTTAGAGCTATGTCGGCACTGCCGTTTCAGGGCGGGGTCATTTTCAGGACTTTCGCCCCGGATTCAGGTTTTGGCACATATGCCATGTTGACCGCCATGGTCATTTTACCCTAAAACAGTTGAGATTACCTGTGCTAAATGAAACACATACAAACATCTATACAGGTCCTAGACTAAAAACAAAAGAGGAAATAGTTACATCATTGAGTTTGAGGACTGACCACTATGAAATCATAGTGAGTCCTGACCGCCCGAATATTTATTTGTACAGAGCTAAAGTGAGTGATAACCTGTTGAAGTCCTTTGATTGGCTCCTCGGCATGCTGCAATCAGAATGTGATTTATGTCCTAAGACTCTGGTATATTGTAAGTCAATAGATTGTGGTCAATTATTCACATTTTTTAAGAATCATTTAGGAACATTAGCTTATGCAAATGGAGCTGAACAAATTTAAAAAAACATGTTGATTGGAATGTACCATCATAACACAATTGATAAAAACAAGAAAATAGTTACTTCATCACTTTACAATCCTAATGGGAAATGCAGAGTTATTTTTTGCACCAATGCATTAGGGATGGGTATTAATTTCCCTGACATCAGGTATGTTGTACATTATGGTCCCCCACAAAATGTAGAGGACTTCCTTCAAGAAGTTGGACGGGGTGGTCGTGATGGAAAATCTGCCATGGCTATTCTCTTCTTCCGAGGAAAGCATCTCAGAAAATGTGACACATCCATAAATAATTATGCCAATGGTGATAACGTTGAATGTCTGCGAACCCATATTTTATCAGAGTTTTGTCAGATTAAACATGATTCTGTAGGACATGACTGCTGCCTTTTATGCCATGAGAAGTGCTACTGTAATGGAGATAACCCATGTGATAAACAGATCCCAATTAATCTTCACAAGAATCGTCCAGAATCAAATCCAAAAACATTGTGGAAAAAACGAAAAGTAATGGCAGATGAGATCAACAAAAGCTTATCAGTTCATGTCCTACTTACTTCTTGTCCCCAGAATGCACAACTGGATTCAGCGACAACTTAACTCAATTCGATCCGCCAATATTAATTTCCGACGTATATGACGGGAAGATTAAATATTAAAGAACTTCGCGAGTATTTGCAGTAGACATACGAAAATACCACCAAAAAATTCCACTTGATCGATACTATATATTCAGAAATATTCATATAATTTTATTGTTTCTCGCTCAATTTCAAGCGAATTTCTTACCTTGAAATGATGAATGCGGTGAAATTTATGCAAATGACACATCAATTTTGCTGTTGCATTTTGAATGTTCCGCCTGATTCAAATGCTCGTCTTTTTGCTTCTTTTCAACGTATAATAATAACAAATATACCAAAAGAATTGCCATCTTCCATTCTATAGCTCGGAGCAGTCTCGGGAAATTGCAAAATAATCTAAGCTTATTATGGCAATTCTCGTGATTGGAAAGTGTTCGGCCAACTTCGGACGCCAAATTCTTGGTAAAGCATTACAGTTTCCTGGTAAAAGACTGCAGGAATCACTTCTGGAGTGTTTGTTTACCCTAGATACGGATTTTGATTGGCTTAGGCAGAAAAACAAATCTTTTAGAGCAATTTTCCTGATTATCGCACACGGGAATGCACGAGCGTTGAAATGTATTGTGTTGTAGTTTTGTTTGAATCGCATTCTGAAGACGTTTTTGGCTTTATTTTGCAAACTGATAGTGCTAGTAATGATGGAATGTCTTTGTATGAAGACAAGTAGCTCAACCTGGCATTGGGAGTCGTGTCTGGAGTTTCAAGGCAAGTATTTGTATCATTTCTAGACAATTTCTATTTTAATGTTTTGCCGTTGCCATGGCGTTGTAAATTTATTTGTATTTAGTATAGCTTCACTAGTACGACCAAGTATGTCCTCATATCGCTTTTTTGTGTTGAAATAATCGTTTGATACTGAAATTGACAAATATAAATGGCATTTATTTATATTGTTGACGAAAATTTGTGTTTTAGGCATAAAAATCTCTGATTCCTAGGCGAAGTAAAATGAGCCTTGAGCACATGTTTGGTTGTTTTGTTACATACATAATAGCCAAGTATTCATACTTATATCTTACTAGTTGGCTC